TTTGTATTTTTCTATTTGTATTTACTAATTTTATTAGTTTTGTGTGTACTTGAGGGGGTAAGACAGGGTCACTATTCATGATAGAATTGTATAAGTTATTATCAATGTGTTATATGAGCTGGAGGACTGACAACATTCTTAAAACCTTGTCTTACAGCTGATGGCATTGCTCTAGGAGCTGCTGTATCAACCTCAAAAACAGATGTAGAATTGATAGTATTTTTAGCTATTATGTTACATAAGGTGAGATCTTTCAATATTGTTGTGTAAAAAGATGTTACACTAGTACAACCTATATTTTTGTTTCTTTTGTTGATAGGCTCCTGCAGCATTCGGTTTAACTACATTTTTACTTCTTGAGGTAAGCAATTTGAGCAGACTTGCACAGCTTGAGAAGCAATTCTGCACACATAGTGAGTGCTGACTAGACCTAATTGGCTAATGAGTTGTCATGTATGTTATCAATTCAACTCCTGCAGGGATAAAGAGCTTTTGTTTCTAAGAATTCATCTGTGAAATGAAAATACAATGACACTTACTCCTGGGTGGTTTGATTTGGGTGGAAACATTTATAGAAATGTGTTGACAGCATCACATTTTGATTTTCCTAGCAACATATGACCTACTTATTTACTCATGTCTCATTTGGTCATGTTCTGTTTTGGCTATTTTGAATGCATTTTAAAAAATTGCTAAGATTGCAAATTTTCAATTGCAGGGTATGGATAGAAATAGAATACGTCGACACCTACTTGTATTTGCTGCTGCTGCTCCTATAATGGCATTTTTAACATTCTTTGGTTTAGGACAAGTAAGTGAAATTTCTGGATTTCAGTTGGCATCAGGCATGTTGGTGTTTTAATGACAACGAGAGAGAAAGAAAAGCATACAGAATTGAGCAGAACAGTTGTTGCTTTAAATACACTTACATGCAGTTACCATATTTGTCGTGTAAAAGTCAATTGAAACTATATTTTTTTTCCCTTCAGACTGGAAAGGAGTTATTCACAAGTGTCAACGGCACAGGAATAGCAATGCTATTTTCAGCTGGGACTTTCCTCTATGTTGCTACAGTACATGTTCTTCCTGGAGTAGATTCAAGCCAYGGTGATWCCAGTGATCAAACCAAAGCACACAAAAGAACCGACTTGATTCTTTTAGTTCTAGGAATATGCTCTCCTTTGTTATTATCGCAGACACACAGTCACTGAATAAGATTGATATAGTTTAACCATGATGTATATATGGAGTTGAGAAGTTGGGTGTAAGAAAAAGGATTTAGTATTCTTAACCAAAGTATTTTGGGCACCAGAGGCTCAGTTGTTTGCTCATTCRTGTTTTTTTTTTCACAMACATATGAACTGTTAGAGAGGAGAGAAGTAATGCAGCCTCTAGTTACTCAGRGTACAACAAAACTATAACAGCATTTTAAAATTCCACAGACTAAGTTTTTGTAGAAAGTCCTGACGATGTTGATATCACATTACCATACTATTAATTGTTACCTTAATAATTCGCAAACAAAAGTTACTATGATAATTCACAAAAAAAGGAATGTTCTCTGAGAATATATACCATGAATATAATCTAACGGAATTTTATGAATTCTTTAATATTATTAAGGCAATATATAGGATTTATTAGTAAGAATGCAATTTAGGGTCGTTTTTCGTTAGATTTAGTATTCTGTAAAATATTTAGTATACTAATTAGGCCAATGTAGTTGTTTGCATCTTTGTTTTAGACCTAATAGGCGGATCTTTATTTACAAAATTTTGCTAATTAGCATAAAGTTTAAATTAAAGAAAACTGTAAAATAAGTTTATAATGTGAAAGGGCTTATTAAGGACTATAAACTACGAAAGTTTGACGTCATTACATGGAATATTTTATAAGATATTAGCGTTCAAAGATGCTGAGTGGAAAAAGCGCTAATTAGCTCATATAATCTCTCTAAAAATTGGAGTTTTTAAAACCGTTTTACGCAAAAATATGAGAAGCTCAAAATTGCGTGGATAGATTATTGTGCTATGTTGCTTCAATATTCAGTGCTGATTTACTGATAGTTAGGTTAAAACGTTATATCCTTATGCTAATGATATGTTAATGAACCGAAATGTAAACAAATTATTCGCCTATAGGCAATATGCAACGACGCCTTTCTGTCAAGTACGACAAAGCATGATGGGAGTTGTTGTCTTCGCACATTTTATAGCCTCTAATAAGCTCTCCAAAAGTTGGTTTTATATTTACTTTGCAGAAAAGGCACAAGTTCYTCTAATAAAAAGCAGAAACGACTTAAAAGGACTACAGCTACCATGATGCTTTGTTGCACAAAATGGCGTCGCTGCACATTTTTTTAGTTCGTGTTTTAACGACTCCTGTACAGCCATATAGAGATTTATTTTTCGAGATTGTTCGTCAAGTATTATTTTGAAAGTGTTTTTTTGTAGTTTTGAGCAAGTCTGTTCCTGGTACCGTGGTCCGACGTTCACACAACCTGGACGAAAATACATGGAAATAGACCTTCACACACTTCCAGTTCCACTTCCCCGGGCTTTTTCGCTTGTTGACGCACGTGCCAACTCGCTAAATAGGAAGTCAGAATGGTGTTTTTCGAGACTCCAGTTAAAACTGAGATGAGCCTACTTAATTTTTAAACGCTTAACGTAACCGGCTCTTAGACGATTCACATTTATAGGGCTATGCATTTCCGATAGAGGGTTGTGGTTATGCATGGCTCGCATTTCCGCCCATCAAGGACAATCAGAATAAACAGAGAGAGTGTGTATATGGTGTATATGCTATTAGATTCAAATGTTAATTTATTTTAGCCGAATCTTATGGTCTATTTTGTTGGGAAATATCAAATAAAAATATTGAATAATGTAAACAGAGTACGTTTGTCATTTAATTGCCTTGTAATTCAGTAGTAACACAACTGTTTTGGCGCCAATGGCCGACAATTGATTTAAAGTACATCCGATGTTTTTTATTTATTTAAATGCACTTTAGTCACGATTTCCCAAAAGTGTCATTCGCCGGTTCTGTATGGATGCGGCAGGCAAAGTCGTCTCATTCCTGTTTTTGCGCACTCTACTTAATATGCGACATTACGGGCCTGTGTTTCCTTCACTGCAGCATACACTATATAATCACATCGTAATGCCACTCACGCTATTCGACTTCTTTCAGGTTTTTTGTTCTTTAAGACTGCGCCAGTTTCTTGTCGATCACAAGTGAGAATGATTTAATTGGCATATTTTAATACACTTCGTATGTTTTTTTAAAAACTTTAAAGTTTTTTTTTAAAAAGTTTTTTTAATGGCTTTTTAAAAACTTAAAAAGTTTTCAAAGAGTCAAGTGCGCAGCGATTTCCAGTTTTGTTTTTAACATTTTATGACGTCAAGAGTGTGTCAATAAGAATAGATAGTTTTTTAATGAGTAAGACATACAACAAAAACCGCRTGCAATTTGTTTTTTACTTGACATTTCTAATTTTAAAAATTTAGGAAAATCAGTTTTCATTTGAGAGGGCTTGCTCTAGACGTGACGTTAGCAAAGTGTGTATGTCCGTCTTGTAATGATACTCTCTTAATCTATCAGCCAATCAGCGCGAGAATTCACACAAGTGGCAAAAAAAAAACAATTGCTAAACATTTCCTTTTGATTTTTACCTACATTGACGTGTTACTTCAAAAGATCAACGGAAAACATGTACTTAAAAATTTGTTAAGGATCACTTACCAATATATCGATTATCAATGAGATATCTATTTTTGGACAAATTTCTCAATGTCCTCAAGATCCATTCAATTCATCTGCTGGACGCCTCAAATGTCTCGACTACGAACTAATGCGATTAATAATATCCGTGAACTCACTGTCCAAAACGGGCCAAAAAACCGTGAAATAGATGCTACACCTTGCAATCTTGTACGTTATGCATAAATTTATTGGACCTTAATGTATTTTTTGTTTCTCAGAGTCAAGTGATCGAATCTTATCCATTGTTTTTAGTAAAACAATTTTGGATTTTTAAAAATATATCCGGTCAAGTCGCTTTTGATCGGTTGTTTWCTTTCCACTCGTTTCCGCGGTACTTCAGTACCTTTCTTCTTGTCGGGCTAAAGATCGCATGTCTCGATACATTTTTGGCGCGCATCTCAAAATCCCGCGGGATGTCTTCGGGATCATCGAACGTGCCTGGTTACTGAGTTTCACGCCAGAAGCTGATTCCACGTAGCAATGGCACCGGTTGTGAACTTTATTGATCGGATGTAGGCTGGCTCCTGCCGATTAAATCAATAACATAAGCACAAAATGAAGATACTGAGACGACGGAGAGTTATTCTAGTGTTTTTAGTTTTAATATGGGTTGGAGGAATGGCATATTTTCTTACTAATTTGTCAACGAAAGACGAGTCACTTACTCAAGATTACCAAGGCGACTTGGGGAAAGAYAGCAGCGAAGAATTTTTATTAAGGGAAAAGCAAGAACACAGACAAACCAGAGAACACAGAGAAGAGAAAGAAGAAACATTAGTGAGTATTTTTAGTAATATCCAGACATGATGCCATGGCAAGCGCTTGTTAGTATGTGTRTTTTTGTGGTTTTACAATGTAAATTGCGGAAAACATCAGTAGCTAWGGGGCGCTATACCCTTTGACTAAACCACTCTATGTACATTATTAAAAAGCATTGTAGTCTGTTTATACAAGAGTTAATTGCATTTATTCGGTAAACTTCCCCTTTACCAAATGTGAGCTAAAAAGTGARGTTTGCTTGTGTCGAACTCCAATTATCGGTGATTTACATAATGATGCCTTCTTTTACCACATTAATTCAATTACAGAATTTTACGATGTTCTTAATAAATTATGATATTCACTGGAAGAATTGACACACTATTTCATTTGATACTCACTTTATGAAGTACTTATACMGGAAGTCGTCACTTTGTTAAGATTTCTCAGACCTCAGTTTGTCTRGTGATTATGATACGGTAATTATTTACACAAAGCGGCTAATAGTACTGTTTCGTCAAAGAAAACTGTACCTGTTAAATGTCGCGGGTTATTAAATTCAATGTCTATGGTTTGTTCTTTGCGAACAAGGCTAATGAATGTAATTRCCTTATTATTTTGACTGAAACGAAAAAAAATTCTACAGGCTACATTTTTTCATGATTTTTTTTCTATAAATATTATGAATTTGTTGTTGAGATTGTATCTAAACTAAACAGCTGATATGCCTGTCACTTGCCTTGCGGTTTTACGGTAATTTCAAGTCATCAAAAAACATGCAGCTCAATGTTTAGACTTAATGAAAGTTTTACACTGTCTAATTAAAATTCTTATCTTTGAATGATATTAATTTTCTTTTACAAAAGATTTCATTATTATTATTGAGGGATTTCTTTTCATAGTTTACAAGAGATATAGCAAACTTGTGGCCACTCCTAAATTATGTGCAAAATTGTTTTAGTTTAATGTGTGTTTATTGTATTAATAATRAATCTAGAATGTACAATATTTTGTTTGGTTTTAAAACACTTGAGATTTGGTTATGGAAATAAAAATGCAATTATGTAGTTTCAGATTATATTCCACACTTACTTGATCTGGTACAATCAACAATAATGTTTGATTTTCAAGTAGAATGTAAAATTTATTTTATGGAAATTTCACGTCTTTCTCTGTTGTCAATCAATGAAAAGATACAGTTAATAATTGTCCAGTTTCTAGTTCTCTCTCCATAGCATATTAGATATAGCACTCTAGTTTACTGCTAGTTTCCATCCTTATCGAATTTTTGAATTTGTAATAATTCTTTCAATAAATTAGAATTAACCTTGAAAAACAAGAATTGGATACTGGAAAATGYGATGTGACCCATTCCCTTAATAAGCGCAAACTCTATGTGACCCTTCTTAAAGTGRYMGCTTAATRGCTGCAAAACAAAAGTTTCCTTTTCCTGTTTTACTTTATCATTTGCTATGCTTCCTCTACAGAATAATGGCCGTGTTATCGGCAGCGATGATGAACATGATACAAGAAAAATTAGTGACTTTGATACTGCTGGTTATATTACCAAAAATGGCTACAAAGATGGGGAGGATGCTTAYGCAAGAAATGCTTACAATTTAAAAGTCAGTGATAAAATTGCTTTTGACAGAGAGGTACCTGAAGTCAGAGATGCAGAGTAAGTACCCTGTGAAGGTTTGCAAATATATGCAAACTACATGTAAAGGAGGATTGCAAGACCAGCTCCTCACAATGTATTAATATAATATTATGATATCAACCATTGAATCCACAACTGCAATTTGGTAATTTTACTTCCAATCCATAATTCAAAAGGCTAAACTTTGCCAGTTGACTGATTTTGCGGAAGAGACCTTTCCCTCTAAACTTCAGTTCATTCAGTTGTGTGGGATGATAGTCTCTATTCATTGACGATAGCAAAGGCACCAATGATTCTTAGCATTTGACTTAAGGGGTTKACATACAGCATGTACTATTGCGTGGTATATGTAATTGGATTGAAAACCAATGATACCATTACAGCTACAATTATAAGATCAACTCTGCATAACAGCCTACATGTCAGAGCTATCAGTATTTCTAAAAAAAACCTACATGTATGTTCTTGGGTTTTCTKGAAGTTTGTGCATAAAGTGTAAATGTCAGGAAGGTTGTATTTATTAATAAAGATTATTAATGATTGTTGCTTTGTTAGGTGTCAACATAGGTCTTGGCCAGGAGATTTACCTACTACAACAGTAATAATATGCTTTCACAATGAAGGCAGAAGTGCACTTCTTAGGACAGTAATAAGGTAAGAAATTACCAAAACTAACAGTTAAACTACTACAACGTACTTATGAAAACCTTAGTGTAAAAATGGCTGTGAGTCTATGTTATGTAGTTTGATATGTGTGTGTGTGTGCCCCTTGATGTGTGACTCTGTCCAGCCCCATTCATCTGCCACTTGCAGCTGATCACAAATTAATTCATTGAAAACTGTTCATGCTATAACAAATGTGCGTTTTCTAGATATGTCATGCATTTTATTATGACCAGGATACTTTTCAAACTAGCATTACATTGCTCTGCATGGCATTGCGTATATCCTGTAGTGCTGTTGACATGAAAAAGATCCAATTAAACAAATACAACAACAAAACATGACATTATTAATGCTGACAATAGCCTAATAGCGGCTCTTGGGGCTCTTGATAACTAATTCAGTATTTTATATTTGCAGCACAATTAATAGAAGTCCTCCAGAGCTTTTAAAAGAAATAATATTGGTTGATGATTTTAGCGATAATCGTAAGTTGACTATATACAAGATCAAAGGTACATCAATTTCTTTGTACTCTAATGCTAATTATTTTTTTATCATTTTAGCCGATGATGGGAAAGAATTATTAAAACTACCAAAAGTTAAACTAATAAGAAATGACAAAAGAGAAGGTATTAGTCATGATGTGTAGATTAATAATGATAAKKATGATAATATTGATTTATTGTGTTTATTTGTTCAYAGGTTTAATTCGTTCTCGTGTAAAAGGTGCTGATGCTGCTAAAGGTGAAGTACTAACATTCCTGGACAGCCATTGTGAATGTAGCAAAAATTGGTTGGAACCGTTACTTCTTAGAATTAAACAGGTATTCTTTCTTTGATATTGCTTTATAAAGCCTATAAAATATTGTATTTTTAAAATGATTGGAACTCTTGACAATATTCCATGATGACAAGAGATCCATCAATGAAGATATATTTACATAGTATACTCAAAATTGCTATATTGTGTTTTGCTGGCAATACACAATCTGATTATTGTAATGATGATGCTTTAGCTGACWTGTTCTTTCTGTATTCTTTGTTTTTCATTTAGAATTATAAAACTGTAGTTTCACCAATTATTGATGTCATTAATATGGATAATTTTGAATATCTTGGTTCATCTTCAGACTTGAGAGGAGGTAAATGTGTATAACAGCATTAGAGCGGATTTTGTATGAGTAGGAAATGGGCAATACTATACTGTAACCATAATCATACTGTAACCAAATTCTAGTGCCCCATTGGTTCACAAAAATTGTGCAGGCCAGGTCCGGTACCTGTGCGGTAATTTCTACCGTACGTTTCCCACTCATACGAAATTGACTCTGTGTACAATACTTCATTTAAGTATTTGTTAATATTAGATAATGTATTGTTCTGGTACACATGTATTTTGACTTTCCATAATTCCCATAATGCACCAAAAAATCCCATATTTGTCAACTCTTATAATGAACTACATTATGTWTGGTGTAATATGATTAACTTGGCATACTTTCTGAAAGATGCTGTATCAGTTTTTATCTTGGTAGTGTACATGTATTTTGTTTGACTCAATTTAATGTGTGTTTTAGGGTTTGGATGGAATTTAAATTTTAAATGGGATTTCTTACCTGCCCGAGTAATTTCCGAAAGACAAGGAAAACCTACTTTACCAATTAAGTAAGTATTRAAAAGTATATAGAGATCAAATGCTAATAAAACAACAACAAAATGTTGTGTACACCTTCATAGATTCACAGTAGCAAGTGGTGCAACTCTAAATCATTTAATATTTTCCTTAAAAGAATCCATTTTAACACCTGACACTTTTATCAGGGGATAGAAAACTGCCAGCAGTTGTGTAACTAAAGTAATTAAACTGCTTTTGCTTTATTTTCAGAACACCAGTAATAGCTGGAGGGTTGTTTTCCATTGACAAACAGTGGTTTTCAACATTAGGAAAATATGACATGATGATGGATGTATGGGGTGGTGAAAATCTAGGTATGTTGCTTGTATTGCCCGCTAGATTACTAGATTTCCTGCAATTTCTTCATGTTACTAATTACTTCTTTGACCATTTTCATGTAGAAATCTCATTCAGAACTTGGCAGTGTGGAGGCGTCATGGAAATTATCCCATGTTCAAGGGTTGGTCATGTGTTCCGTAATCGACATCCTTATAAATTCCCTGGTGGAAGTATGAATGTGTTTCAAAAGTGAGCTGCATTTTCTACACTATCATTTTATTAATTCACAAGACATTTGATTCATAATTTTCCTTTCATTATAGAAATACTAGAAGAGCAGTGGAAGTATGGATGGATGATTATAAACGATTTTACTACGCTGCTGTACCTTATGCCAAAAATACCCCATATGGAAAGTAAGTTTTTGCAATTTTAGTGGTTATTTGGTTTTTAAAAATAGAGAAAAATTATTCTATCTTTGTAGAAGCCAAGCAAGTTCAAACAAACGAATGTTNAGATGCTGTATCAGTTTTTATCTTGGTAGTGTACATGTATTTTGTTTGACTCAATTTAATGTGTGTTTTAGGGTTTGGATGGAATTTAAATTTTAAATGGGATTTCTTACCTGCCCGAGTAATTTCCGAAAGACAAGGAAAACCTACTTTACCAATTAAGTAAGTATTGAAAAGTATATAGAGATCAAATGCTAATAAAACAACAACAAAATGTTGTGTACACCTTCATAGATTCACAGTAGCAAGTGGTGCAACTCTAAATCATTTAATATTTTCCTTAAAAGAATCCATTTTAACACCTGACACTTTTATCAGGGGATAGAAAACTGCCAGCAGTTGTGTAACTAAAGTAATTAAACTGCTTTTGCTTTATTTTCAGAACACCAGTAATAGCTGGAGGGTTGTTTTCCATTGACAAACAGTGGTTTTCAACATTAGGAAAATATGACATGATGATGGATGTATGGGGTGGTGAAAATCTAGGTATGTTGCTTGTATTGCCCGCTAGATTACTAGATTTCCTGCAATTTCTTCATGTTACTAATTACTTCTTTGACCATTTTCATGTAGAAATCTCATTCAGAACTTGGCAGTGTGGAGGCGTCATGGAAATTATCCCATGTTCAAGGGTTGGTCATGTGTTCCGTAATCGACATCCTTATAAATTCCCTGGTGGAAGTATGAATGTGTTTCAAAAGTGAGCTGCATTTTCTACACTATCATTTTATTAATTCACAAGACATTTGATTCATAATTTTCCTTTCATTATAGAAATACTAGAAGAGCAGTGGAAGTATGGATGGATGATTATAAACGATTTTACTACGCTGCTGTACCTTATGCCAAAAATACCCCATATGGAAAGTAAGTTTTTGCAATTTTAGTGGTTATTTGGTTTTTAAAAATAGAGAAAAATTATTCTATCTTTGTAGAAGCCAAGCAAGTTCAAACAAACGAATGTTGTAACCCTTATACACACTTTGGACTCTTATTTTTTTATCTTGACTTGTAATGTTGTTTTGTAGCATCCAAGGAAGGCTTGCCTTAAGAAAAAGACTTCAGTGTAAGCCTTTCAAATGGTTTGTTAAGAATGTTTACCCAGAACTCAAGTGAGTACTGAAACTAGTGTTGATTGACTGATTGGATTCATTGTCGGATTGGTGATTAGCACCCTGAACGAATGGATGATATATTGACTGACAGATTGATTGATATCATGTATAATATCAGTGATGAATGCACTACATTGGTTGATTAATATGATTGATTATTGACCAATTGGTTGATTAATAGGATGTATAAATGATGGATAAATTAATTGAGTTACTAGTTAGTTGAGTGTCTAATTGATTGATTGAAAAATTGATTGATTGAATGATGTATGTTGATTGATTGATACAATTGATAGTAATTTTATGGCATTGTTTCAGAGTGCCAGCAGATGATAATACCAAGGCATTTGGTGAGATAAAACAAGGMAATCAATGTGTAGATACACTGGGTCATGCTGTAGGGCAGAATATTGGTTTATATGAATGTCATRGTGCTGGTGGTAATCAGGTAGGTTACTCTTTGATTTGTTTCCAAAACCCAAGAAAAATCACAGTCAAACTAGGTCAGTAGTAAAGGCCACAACTTCCCCTACCCTCCAGTCTCTATGCAGCCTACACTTTAGTTTGGAGGAACAGGAAGCCTGACAAAAAGATAGGCTGTGCAGGAGACTAAACACAGCCATTACTAAGGAAAAATGATGATTTACAATGGTTGGACATTTTTACTTCTTAGATGTGGACTCTTACTCAAAAATCTCTTCTAAAGCAYGATTCAGCATGTTTGGGTGTTGACGATGAAGTGGCTTTGCTCCAGGATTGTGATGAAAACAATACAAAACAGGTTTGTTTGATTTACAGTGTTCCTCATGAGAAACCAGTGAAATGAAATATTGCATTATATTTTCTTTTTCAGCATTGGGAATATGAAAAAGATCTCAGTAGATTACGGCACAAGAAAACTGGACAATGTCTGGACAGCGACAAGACTAAAGAAAAAGGACTTGCCTTGAGCTTGTGCTCAGATAATTATTCACAACACTGGGCATTTGAAGTCAGCTTATAACATTTTGTAAGATAGGAGTTTTTCAATGATATAAAAAGAATGCAGCAACCAAATGACTTTAAAGACCCTTTTATAAATTTGCAAGTGTGGAGGAAAATGTGATTTTTTGTACCAAACCTTTTAAGCTGAGCATGATTGGTCCATGGTTGCCTGCTTCTGTCTAGAGTGATTTTTTACTTGTGAAATARAATGCTACTAGCTCATAAGAATATGGCCTGTGTACATTCATTCCCACCCCTCCCCCCTAAGGGGAAAATTTGAATATTTTTTGCCGTAAGGGGGAGGGGTGGGACTGATGTACATAGGCTAATAAGAATTGTTTGTGTTCATACTTGACTGCAGTTACAATTCATTCCAGCAATGCATTCAAATTCATTGGATTTTATATGCCTCAGTAAATAATTTTGAGTATAACTGAGGGTTGTTCAATAATCTGACAAATTTACATTGTAAGCATAGAGTACAAACATTAAATGTGTGCAACACTTGCCACTATTTACTAAAAAATGGTGTTAATTAAACAATAGAAAACAATAGAATTAGCATAATTTAGCAGTATTTAGTGGTATATATGTTGCACAGTTTGTACTCTAGTATTGCATCTGCATAACAATAGATTAACAATTCAAGACTTTTACAATGGAACACAATGTAATGCTATGCAGAAATTTTCATATTGGACAAGTATGGGATAATCTGCACTGCAAATGGCTTTAAAGGCTGATTTACACGGTACGATTTGTCGCGCGCGACTAGTAGTATACGATTTTCCTACTACAAGTCGTAGGATTTTAAGCAGTGGTTCAAAATCCTACTACAAGTCGTAGGTTGCATGCGAACAGTTGTTGTAGACAAGTCGTAGGCATTTACACTGCGTGATTCAAGTCGTATACTACAAATCACACGAGACAATTGTGCCATGTAAATCAGCCTTAAGGTGTAGTTTAAAGAAGTGTGGGAGCCCTTTAGTAAAGTGCATAAAAAGACATCTGCAATTGAGGTCAACCTTAAAGGACTATTGGAAGCTTTTTACAAAGTATGCAGATCATCAATAAATGAATCCATTTGGTACTAGATTATTTCACATGCAAGAGACCACTCTTATTAACATTTTGTAAGCAAATAATATCTAAGTAAAATATTCATTTAGAGCAAAGAGACTGATTTTTTAAAACAATAACAGAAAGAAATAATACGAATACCAGTAGTGCAAGTTAATAATATAAACTTTTAATTTGTGCCCTTTATATGCAGCTAAATAATATTGTTCATATAAAATTAGTGTTTGCTAGTATATGATTATTTCTCTAGCAAGCTTCTGACCTATCTCTGCTTTGGACAGTAAATAGTATAATTGATTCTTTGTAAAATAAAGAGATTTGATGAATGATATTTGTGGCTACTGCGTCTGGGACTAGAGCAAAACAAGGGTTATTGTCTCCTGATTTTCACAGTTGATGTAAAATGACTATTTCTGCTAACCACTCTTAGTGTTTTTACTTTTAAATTTAAATAAAGGAGTAAGCTTCTACATGTAGGACTATCACATCTTCTAAAGAAGGGGAGAATCATGCTAAGAGATCTATTCAACAGTTCTTGTTCAAATGGCCCCCAGTGCTTGTTGCTGCACTGTAATATATTTTAGTAATTTAGAAATAAATTAAATTTATTTCTGTTAATGTCGATCTGTTATTACCAGTGTTACCATGGTGCAAGTTGAGGCGTTTTAACAACCCGTGATCAATATTATTTTTTAATTTACATGTAATGCTGATCATGTGGCCATGTAAAAGGATGTCTTGTTCATGATTGGTTGGAGGTCATTAAAATGAGATGTTATGAACTATATKTAGTACTGTAATTTACTAGAAAAGGTAAGGGATTGTATGTTAGTCCATTTGTTACCCTTCTGCATAATGTATTTGGGAACTGGTGTGATACATGGTCACCAGCTTAGCTAAGATGCAATGTTCTAACTAAATCCAGGGCCTTGAATGGTGCCAAGTGTCAACACTGTCCTAGACTTTGTGAGCTAGTAGTGTATTGTTTGCAGTACAAAAATCATTCCATGGAAATTACGTCCAATTCAGAGAACAATAATTCGTACTTATTGTTCTTCGAAGTACAGTTAATTTATTTTGCAATGCTTGCTCATACAATGAAAAATATGATAGCCCACATATCTTCTGCAAATAATGTCAATGCTCTCAATTTTCAAAGTAAAAGAGTTCTGCTGCAGTTTCTTTTCATTCTTGTAAAAGATCTTGAATGTCTGTAATTCAGCTAATCAATTCCTCTGTYCTTTTTCTGTATTTTTACAAAACTCTCGGTATTTTTGCAAATCAAATTGTCCATTAGCTTTTAGAAATACTGGTGTCCCAGTTTCTTGCCCATCTTTTTTGCTATCGGCTCCTGAGTCGTCAACAATCTCAACTGGYTTGATTTCTATCAGGTGTTTTACAGAACGAAGAAGGCCGTTTACTGCCGGTGTATTTTTATGAATAACAACTTTATGAGGTCTTGTCAATCCAAGTGCTTTTAAAGTTCTCTTTTCCCACCACGGCTGTCCTATTCCGCTACGAATTAATCGTACAGCGTGGAGTTTACGTACAGCTTGTGAACATGCTTCTTTGGCCGCCATTTTGGAATTCTAGCTAGTACCCATGACTTCGCAGAAAATTTAACCAAAGGGAAACCTGTTTAAATATAACATGATGAATAATTTCCAATCGTCGTACATTTTTTGATTAAGTTTATAAGATTATATTTGTTAGGATAGGATGTCTTTAATTTTGTTATGAAGGATTAAAAATGAAGCATTCATTTATTGTGTATTTTTTATGTCGGCGACGGTCTCCCTGTTGTCACGCTGTCACAGCCACTCGCGCGCGAAAATCAAAATGGCCGTGTTCAGGCAGTTCAGGGTTGTTGTTTAGTGCTGGTTAAAAACGCCTAAAGAACTTCTTCAGTAATTGCCAAACTTGGAATTTTTAAATARTAATGATAATTTTCCCCGGGAATCGCCTCCTAGTGCGATATTTTTGTGGCCTTGTTGCAGTACTTCAAGCTTTCGTTTGCATTTTCGTTGTGCTTGTCCAAACATCGGGCATACATCCAGAAAACTGCACATGGTTTGTCAAAATAGTCGGTCGAGAGAACACTAGTGCGATACATTCGTCTATTTCACCAGGTGGAAGTTATTTTCTACGAGTACAAGTCCTCTGCAATAACAAAGTGAGTAARCTTTTCCCTAATTTATTAAAGCTGTAAGTAGCAGATTCAAACAAACTGTTCAAGTTCTTGGGTCACTGAACACCCCACTATAGCCGAAATTACCTCTAATTTTTCAGGACACATTCTAATTCAGCTTATGAACAATGTAGACACCCCATTGATAAATTGAAAATCTGACCTTGATTTACTATTTTTTGGATTGTTTTTCTAGATCAATTCTGAAGTGTCAAGGTACTTGGCCCTTCTTGGTGTAATGCCMAATGTCAACATTGAAAGTGAAGTTATYGTGCAAAATGAAAATGGCTTTCATACATCACAGTTTGTTGACACAATAGAAACAGCAATAGTAGACATGGGCCAACAGGAAAATTGCTATTGTTTGATGTCAAAATCCAGGTAATAATTATAAGAATTTAGCACTTTTTTACTGAGAGTTTTTATAATTAAGTGTGCTGAATTTTGCTTCATRTATTGTTCTATTTCCTCTATTAGGTGTTATTGCGATAGTAATATCCCAACATGTGCAAGGAATGGTCTTGAAATTACAACAAACTGTTCTGACTGCATGAMGTTGGATTGTTCCTCATCAAGTGAGTTGTGTAAYCCTGCCTGGYTGGCTCCTCTTTCACCAAGAGAATGGGCCACWAGYCTGGATGTAACCATAGATAGTTTTGGTGTTGGACCATATCTTGACTTGCCAAGGTAAGCTAAAAGTCTGAATAGCATTTCATTTTATCAAGACTGGATTCCAGGATGTAACACAGCTATTGTTCCATATACATGTACGGCAGATTCTTATTGATCAGAAAATAAAAYAAAAARTRCTYTGAMTATCCAKMRRCCAGTAATCATCAATRTTTTGATTTCCACTAGCACCATCTTCCATGTTGATGTTTTCCGTGACARCCAACAAARCAACATCATTGGAGMAAGGACAGCAAGTTTCCCTAAGGTTTCCAAGCCAGTGTATTTGWATTGTGTTGCCCAGCACTCCCCAGTGTGTGTAATTACAAGTCTTCCCTTGTCAAATGTGGCACTGTATTCAAATTCAGAGTTTGCAGCCATGGAAATCATCCAGGTAAAAMAGRAATGYTTGGGAYRCCATCKCAGTGACATTAYAGTGCTGCTAACCTGTGTACAACRARCATGCAACAATCATAGTTTTATTTKATTGTGTATCTTTTCTGAAGGTATCAGACATTTTCAATGGCACATCTGTATGCAGTGAGMCCTACCCATCTTTAGATGTCATCAAAGGTTCCATATCTATGTTGGATACTGTCATCTTTAACACTCCTGTAAGTAGACCCAACTTTCACACTTACATCTTGTTCAAGAAAATTGATTACCCTAACAATTTAAATGCTTTGCAATAAACTCTGCAATGCAAATTGACAGGGAAAAATGGGAGTACCATTTCTAGCTTGTTTGCTAGTAAGGGTTGATAACTCAGCTGGTTTGTTAGCCCTGTCTTTCCATCATTCTATCATTTTCTTAAATTGGTTGGTAGGCCAGTATATTGGTTAGATGTTTGGTTTATAGGTAGCTCAATACTACTTAGTGCCTACTACAGGGATAAATGGGAGTACCATTTCTAGCTTGTTTGCCAGTAAGGGTTGATAACTCAGCTGGTTTGTTAGCCCTATCTTTCCATCATTCTATCATTTTGATGGTTAGCTCTTAAATTGGTTGGTAGGCCAGTATATTGGTTAGATGTTTGGTTTATAGGTAGCTCAATACTAGTTAGCCTGACTAGATAGTTAGTTAGTCAGCTAGTTCTGTCTCATATAGGTTGGTTTAATAGAAGTGAAAGGAAGTTTAAAATCTTCCCTACCAACAGACCATGGTATGTATATATATGAAGCTTCAGCAAGAAAGCTTGAAATAAGAATAGGTACCTAGATCTTGATGACAGAGCTTCCATATCCGCAATTACCACCAACAATATGTAGTATAATAATAATGTATACAGCAATTTGCAGAAATTGTAAAATAAATTAGAAATTATGGGATATCATCACTAATATTTTTTGAAGTTGTCTAGCACTAGAACATTCTGAAAAAAATATTGGAGATGATATCCCATGATTTCTTATATATTTTATACTTGGAATATGAGTCAAAATTACCTAATTTTCTGCATATTGCTGTAATGATGATTATCAAAACACATCAAGTAAGATAGTCAAACATTTTGTGTCTTGCTTTTGAATTTWTCCTAAATTTCTTTGGATGATGTCAGCCAGTAAATGATTRTAAAAATTCAATTTACCCAGTATAAACATTATGTCCTTTCCTGGACTACTGGGTCGATTATCATCAATGTTTTTACAGCAACAAAAAGTAACGTTTTGCGTCACTGCATCAAACATCTTGTTGGACCAGCAGCAGTGGCATCACAAGYAACAACCATCCTAGCCATAGGTGATAAACCGCATCACAATAAGATATTTACTGCTGATATAGTACCAGGTATTGCCACTTTTATTGTTTTTTCTTGGTCTTCTTTTTCTAGTTTTCTAGTTGTCAAATATGACAATCATCTAGTTCAACCCTAGGTGCTTTCAAAAAACAAGACCTTTTTAAAGTTCCACATCGATCCGAGAGCCTTTGCGCGATGTTTTCACATACGAAAAGTCGCCATCTTTGATTTAGAACCAATCAGAAAGCATTTTTCAGTTTGAGAGCAATTGTAAAACAAATCAAATGATCGAAAAGGCTCTCAGTTGCGCGTGGGACAAGTGGGATTTTCGGAGAAAAAATCTTTGAAATCGGTCCATTTAATTTGCACTTCACAGGAAAATCTGTTGTTTTCCAAGASCTACTCGACTCTAACAACTCAGATGTATGCCATTTTATCAACGTCCAACTCAGTATCGATGTGAAGTCTTGTAGTGTTGTCACTGGTAGTGTTAATAGTGATGGTTCAGTCTTGGTGCTTCTTGAGATCATTGATGCGCTATCCTCTGCGCAGTATCASATCGTCAAGATTGAAGGTAAAGTAAAGTAACTTCTTTTAGTATGTCGCATCAATTAACCTTTGGCGTTTTGTTTGGTTATAATTTCGAAGGAGCTTTCTATATATTTTATACTATCACCGTTTGAATAGCAGTAGATTACCCCTGCCTTATCATCATGAGAGCTTATTTCAGGGACCATTGATCTTTTAAAGTAAGTTTTAACATTGTGGACATCATTGTCGTTCCTACTTTTTATCAAGGGTTAAATGGCACAAGTCAATGGGCATTGGTCTACAGTATTCCTACAAGACTCCCAGATTCTCATGGTAAGGCATGGATACTCATTTCTGTTGGTATTGTTGAGTCTATTTTGCTTCTGTTTTCTTTCTTTTTGGCTTTTTTAAGATCATGAAGAAAACTCGTTTATCCTTGATCAAAGCTTCGATGATTCTATCAATTCTACCCAAAAACCCATATTGGTTGGCATGTCACATACAGCAATCATTGGTAATGATGTGTTTCTGTGGGGAAACATGCTRTTATATAGGTAAGGATGTTATTWTGTCTTATTAGAGAACTTAAGCATCAATAGCTTTTGAGGCGTCGACGTCAATCGGAAGTGAAATTTTACTTCCGTTTGCAAGTTTGCAAAACATTTTGGCGCGCCTCGAAGTGCGTACATGCGGACTTGAAATCTRTCATTCTCTATTATCAGTGACCAGAACGCAAGCCTATTTTTCASTAGCCTGTGTACATTCGTTCCCMCCCGTCCCCTCTACGTGAGAGGGGTGGCYACGGATGTACAMGGCTAATKTTTCATTGTTACATACCTGTATTGCAGTCCCCATGGAGGATCATCTCTACAAAGACTGACGTCATTTCCGTCCAACTCCAACATCACCTTATTTACTTCCTGTTTCGATGGCACATACGCTTTCTTGACAGAYAGCAACGAGGTAAGATTTTACGTGCTTTACACACATAACTCCGGCTTTTGTATTGTCGCTGAGCACGTAGTTTTTGATGAAATTTTCTATATAACTGGAATGTACATATTATGTATACTATTCTTCTAATAAGTATGGCATGTATTTATACATTCTTTGTTATAGCTATGGGTCGGGATGGTCGGAACTACTCTGTTATTGAAACTCGAGACCACACCCAACACCTGGATGCAAAATCCTYTGCTGGATTCCCATGACAACGCAACCKTGGTAACCATGTTTTTTGACTCGTCAGGGACACTGCAACAGGTTCGAAATCGATATCTGMAGTTTTATTACTTGGATTCATTATTCTTTCATTCATTGAATCATTTTTCATATCTCATGTTTTCTACTTATTCACTTGCTTATTCATTCAGTTTGTTTGTGCATTTTTTTCTTTCATTCATTTATTAGTTTATTCATTTCATCCATTCTATTTATTCGTGCATTTATGACGTTTCTCATAGAATTTTAAGAGTTAATTCATCCAGCTATTCAACGTGTCTTTCAGATTGTAGCCAACACAGAAGAAAACTGCATATYCCGTCAACAAGTACCTCTCCATGACATCGTCACATCACTAAACTACCACAAATCAAGGMTCGAAAAYTGGAAACAAACCAACTTTTCGTCATCTAACAACAATTCCTGCCCTTCAACCTCATCTGAAGAARCAACTAGTTTCCCCCTAAACTACGTAGAACGTAAATGCCCGTATGYCAAGATGCGAACGCTTGCSTTACGCAGTGAACTGTTCAGTCGTAAGATACATACAGCTAGCAAACCCCCTCAGATTCACAACGCCACGCTGCAGCATTCCGCTAAAGAGCTTGCAGAACACTTTTCGAGAGGTTCAGAGTTTAAAGCTGTCGGTGATAGATATGAYGATGGACTRCCTCGAGAGATATCACTGCATCGCCTTGAATCTTATACCTTTGAGTTRTACTTGCATCTGGATGGTCARGATTCAATAGGTTAGATGYCTCTCGTCACATGAATTTGCATTCAGTTAGTTATTCATTCGTTCTGTTTTTACTTCCCATTTAATCCGCCATGCGCTGTGCATTGTCTATCTTGATACATACATTTTGAATGTCCTTCCTGGAATCTTTAGATATTTGTGACGGAGTGCTCCAAATATGTCATTCATTTCTATCTTTAAAAGATACCTTCAAAAATATAAAAGCGTAYTCAGGGCTGAGGTGACAGATGTGCCGTGCTGCAGTTGAAAATTGTATGTATTTTGAAATGTACTGTTTTAAGATAATACTGTGCATTCCAGGGACATCAAGGAGTTCCTGGACAATGAATCATCTACGAGTTTCTTTCCATGTATCTGATCCAACACTGATGAATGTTACATCTGAGAGAAAGGAACTCGTTGCATTGAAGACCGTCAAATATCAGGTATTTTGAAGTAACTAGTATCATTCTTGATGCCTATAATGATTCTATAGCTGTAGGTAAATAAGTCTAATAAACATCAGGACTAATTACTGGGGCTAATGAGTTTATGAGCGCCCGGTTGACTAATTCATACATCGACAATTGGTTGTCAGTTTGACTGCGGTTTGATTGGTTGATTGATCATTGGTAGTCAGTGATAGTTGATGCRTTGATTTATTGTTCATCGATTGATTGGCTGGCGAAAGTGTACTGATTAGTTAATTAAGCATGACYTCTGAACGTTTACGTCACTAATTGACTTTCAATGCATTGTGGGTTCACTTCCTAGAAAAAAACAACAAAAGAAATCCGCCATGCTCTGCCTCAAACATATCCTACAATGCATTGCGTATTGGTATACGGTATACGGTACATGACGTAAAAGCTTCAGAGGACTTTGATTGGTTAATTTGGTTTTAAAKAAATCATTGTTTTGCAAAGGTAACTGTGCAGGATAAGGGCGTTGCTTTTACCCAGCATCCTCCTGGAGAGGGTCTCGTCCCAGTCTCTTTGATATTACATACCTGGAAGTCTTCATTTTCTTGTTGGGAGAAGTCTGGTGGTGGACACAACAACGTCAAGGTATTTAGTGAACGCAGTTGAAACTGGTGACCAAATCATTTATTACATTCGGGGTTTTTTTACTTACGATTTTCTTGCGCAATTTTTTTCGGACAAAAACATTTTCTCGTGTACATCTTTCTGTTGTCAACCATTTCCACTCTGAATACCTTTAGTCTGACTTTCTGTGTTTGGCTTGCAGAGCCCGCAAGTGATGACGGTCTATCTAGGTTGCCCTGGTAACAGACAAGTCGTTTTTGACGCCCAAATGTCTATGACAGCTGGAGGACAAAACCAATACTGTGACTCAGCCGATAATGTGCCGTGTTTTCTCTACGAAAGAGGTGTGAAAATTTGAACACAGGAAGYCCAGAATGTATCATTRATTAATTATTCTTTGATTCTCCATTTCAAGTGTTTTACCCATTGTTTGATATTGTTGACTTGGCAACGGGTAACGAGACTGCATTTCTTGGGCAGTACACGTTGAAAATCGTTGGAGGTGGCCTGGATCTAGACACYATACGCGACTACACCACACAACAGCAGCAATCATACAACTTTAAGAGTGCAGGGTATGTAGCTACAGAATTACAACACAAGATTCATGCGTAACAATGATTTCACTATGTGCAGACGGAGATAATTTACATATAATGTGGATAATTTACATATAATGTGGATAATTTACATATAATGTGGATAATTTACATATTTTAATGATTTGTTTGCTTAAATTAGGAGTACTTCCTCTTTGATCTGGGCAGCAAAAGAAAAAACCTTGGCTACAATTCCAATATTCAATAGATCAACAAATGGAATACAGTAAGTTTTAACAATAATGAATTTAAAACAGAAAGAAAGAAAAAAGGGAAAACGGAAAAAATAAGGAAAAGTAGACTCACAAAGCCAAAAGACTCGGTAAATCATAACTATATCAATCCCAGGTGGCTGTGTGGTACKGAAAGCCCTTGCGCAAACGTCGATCCTAAGTTCATGGATAACGCTCAGTTCTACTTCAAAGTCGAGTTTTCCAACAGGTAATGCCTTGTTTCTGTGAAATATTTTCCAATTCTGCATGGAAAAATMAGTYATTACTCCATCTTATTTCTAGGGGCGTCGCCGAAACGAACTGTGACTACACTTTGCGSTTTATCATGCGCGTACATGGGCTCCCTCCAGGCTCGCTTTATCCTTCGWCTATCATTGTTTTAGTAAGTACAGCAGTTCACTATATCATAGTATAAGGAATCGTAAAAGAGGCTTTCGCGTGCTCCGTTTAAAGTTTTCCTGCATGCAAAGGATAGGCCGCCTGTGCTTCTCATTGTTCCATTCACCAAATGAGCTCTCGGAACGGTCAATCAGAGTGCGCCTTTGATGAAACTCCACTAAATTGACTGATATGGTAATTTCTAGTCCTGCCTAGGAATCATCATCACCRTCGTCATGACTCTATTCATCTTCAAGAGACAAGAACAAAAGCTTATCAAACAAGTTAAAGTATACATTACTGGGCTGCTTAACATGACAGGTAGCTCTTCTCAAAATCCTGGACTGCCTGATATTGGAACCGATAGACTTGAGATGGGAAAGATGGAACCACAACGAAGTGTGGAAGGTGGACCGTTCAGAAACCGCGGTAATTGTGGTAATTGAACTTCTTTAAACTCTGGAGAAAACTATTAAGCGTGCTAAATTAATCCTCAGTGTATTCCGAAAACATCAATGCGAAAATATATAGCGAGAGACGGCCTTTGAAGTCTACCACCTGGTCACTGCCTCGGTAAAATGTAGTGCACAGAAGTGTATATATATTTATGTGTGCGTCAACAAAGATCACATTGTAAACCTGTAGAATATAATTTAATGTGAATGCGTACTCTTTTTTTGCAGGCATTGCCTGGGAAAAGAAGGACCAAAGTACTAAGGGAGATAAGGGCTGATACATGCCTGGTACCTTGTGGTATACATACATCATTTTATTTGATATATAGATATTGATGCATAGATTACAAAAAGATCCGTAAGTAATGATTGATTTTGCACTTAGAACTAAAATATTATGACATTCAAGCTATCCGGTTAATGAGTTTTATCAGAAAACGTCACTCATTGACTCTTCAAAGAACAGGCTAAAACCTTGAGCATTAAACCAGTTTATTTTCTAGAAACTAGAATTGCAATTATTTGTTGTCCATAAAATGCTACATTCACCTTCTTGTTCCATGAACATAGAGGGTGAATATAAAATAAAGTACGGGCAAAGTGGAATGGTGTTTATTGTTACACCAAACGCTTCAATATATAATTTGTTCTTGGGTGCTTATAAAGATTGGTTAAACTATTTTTGAGAACACTATCGTAAACAATATTAGACTATATTGGGAAAACTACAGCTCTCGGCAAAATGTCTGTGAACACCCCATGCACTCCCCTGTTTCAAAGTTGGGATTCTTACAAAGAAGCAAGGCCGACAAGATGAGAACCAACTTGAAACAAGGGTGGGGTTAATATCGCAGCTAATTGTTCGTATATTTTCGTCGAAAGCTGTAGTGTCCTTTTGTACCCTATACTAGATTTTACAGTGCTGTGGAACTTGTTTTCTCTCTAATTTTCCATTTAAAAATGGATAATACGTAATGGGGTTATTTAATGGAAACGACGGAGCTGCAAACCAGACTTTCCTCATCCCTATCTGTAGTGAATTCATTTGACTGCAAGAACTGTACGTGTTCACAGCAATCATATTCCTTGGTATATTCTGCATGTCCGTCAATCTCAGTTTGAAGAGCGTCAAGAATAATTTGAGCGTAGAAATCCTTGCCGTTTTCTCTCACTATACCAGCATCWTTAAATCTTTCCTTTTTGCGTATTGGCCAGCATAGCTTCTCCAAGTCGATATGAGCTGAAACTKTTSCTAAGTCAAGCAATTCTTTATCAACTGAATCTTCTGATAATTTCCTAATGGCAAACGTGAGTCTTTTCGTCAACGTTGCTCGAGTTTCTTGCTCCGGATGCTTTTCCAAAAGCCGGCTGCTGTTTTGAACTGATTCAGGGACTTTTTCCATTAGGTTTCGTATGAGTTGGTCCCTTTCTGGAGACTAGACGTTGAAAGGAATTTTCACATGACTCAAGATATGCTTGGTGCATTATAAGCAATGAGTTTGTATTGTATTGTTATAATTTCAAATTGAAAATGAAGATTATGCAGCCAGTTCAGAAAAGGTTGTCCGGCAGAGCGACTGGAGAAAACAAGGACGGTCGAAAATTGCTGTGGATATTGATTATTCATGGCAATGTACCCTTAACAAATGGACTTCATACTGTCTTTTCCACCGAAGGAAGAGTCTTTGATAATGGTTGTTTGGTTTGTTTTTCAAGAGATTAATGATTATTTGTAAAAAACGTTTGAGTCGCGCGCAATCGCCGTTCCGTTCTGACAACCTTTTCTTGAAATAGCATTGAAGAGTCTCGTTAAACGTATTCAAACGTTCTCATGAAACTACTGCAAATGGACAGTTATAAAATATACTTCATCTTAAAAATTAAAAGATGCCAAATAAACTTTTATAAGAAAGTAACGATGGAATCATGATGCACTTGGATATTGGAATAGTGCTTACCTTAAGGCTATGAAATTCCATTTCTTTTACGTTGTCCGGCGTCAGTACGATAAGCTCATCCATCTGGTGATTTGACAATTCACTACGAAGTCGATGAAGTGAGATATTGGGTTCGTAGTCATAGCTGTCTTCATTCGTTGGTATAAGGGTGTTACATGAATAGAACGTGACACCTTCAGGTGGGGACGACACTGTAAAGAAAAGCAACTCATGATTTGTAACAGAGTTTCAAAGTCTTGCAGATTTGACTTTTGTGCACATTGTNATTCCGATACTTAAAGGTTTATTTCTATAATCATTTTGTTTAGTTATGTAAATAAATTCAGCACGACTTGTACTGTTTGTCTGAATGAAAGGCGAGCTGCGGGTTTTCCCTTTTCTTTATTTACACTTTCAAATATGACCGCTTAACAAAAATGCACGGGCTCACTGGCTTACAACCTTGGCGAATTCATATGCAGGCCTGGTCGCAAATCAATCACCCAGCAGTGTATATATATAAGCTTTGTGCTGTGTGAGCAGTGATTGTATTTTATCTATGTGTGCGTCAACTAAGATCACATTGTGAACCTGCAGAAAATAACTTAGTGATATGGCATACTCTTTTTTTTGCAGGTATTGCCTGGGAAAAGAAGGATCAAAGTACTAAAATAGACAAGGACTGAGACATACCTGGTACTTTGTGGTATACATACATGATCATTTTATTTCATATATTGATATTGATGAATAGATTACAAAAAGATCCGTAAGTAATGATTGATTTTGCACTTAGAACTAAAATTCTATGACATCAGTTCAAGCTATCCGATTGGTGAATTTTATCAGAAAAAAAACTCACTAAATTGACTCCTCAAAGGACAGGCTTAAAGAAGTTGTGCATTAAACTGGTTTATTTTCTAGATACTGGAATTGTACTTATTTCTTGTCCATAAAAAGCTACATTCACCTTCTCGTTCCATGAGCATAGAATGAATCAGTATAAATGTAAAGTGCGGGCAAGTTGGAATAGACCTTTTCTATAAGATAGCAGTTTGCATTGCCTTGTGGTCTAGATTCGGCACAAAACATCTTTTGTTCATGCTGCCAAATATGGTGTTGTTTGTCCTGAAGCTAGACCACAATGCACCATGATATTATTTCAGAAAAGGTCTATGGTATTTATCGTTACACTAAAGTTCGCTATACAATGTTTTCTTGGGTGCTTCAAACTGGTCAAACTGGTTTTGAGACAACTATCGTAAAAAAATATTAAAAATGTGGAAAACTAGTTTCCTTGTACCCTACACTAGATTTTACAGTGGTGTAGATCTTATCTTTTCTCTAATTTTCCATTTAAAAATGGATAATACGTGAAGGAAACGACGGAGCTACAGTCTTTCCTCATCCCTATCTGGAGTGGATTCATTTGACTGCAAAAACTGTGCGTGCTCACAGCAATCATATTCCCTGGAATATTCGACATGTCGATCCATCTCAGTTTGAAGTGCGTCCAGAATAATTTGAGCGTAAAAATCCTTGCCGTTTTCTCGCACTATAGTAGCGTCTCCACATTCCGATGAAAGCTTGTCCAAGTCTATAAAACTTGAAATTATTTTTAGTTGAGGCACCTCATTATCGACTGAGATTTCTGCCGCTTTTCTTATAGCGTAAGCGAGTCTTTTAATCAATAGTTCTTGAGTTTCGAGGTGTTGATGCTTTTCCAAGAGTCGTTCATTGCTTTGAACCGCTCCAAGGACTTCTTTCATCAATGTTCTTATAAGTTCATTTCTTTTGGGAGACTGTAAAATAGACATTATACATTTTAACTTTTAATGGATTGATTCTTAGAAACAATTGGACGAAAACCAAAGAATACATTTTGATCTTTTCAAACCATAACAATCGCCTTGGCTTTCTCAATTTTGATGAGGAAGGCCAAGGCTGATAATAAGTAATGATCTCCATGAGCTCATTGCCATGCAGGTCCATCAGTGACCAACAGCTAAGGTGACACTTGCTGCTGACAGGATGGGAATTAGCTAACTCGTTTGCTTCCTTGAATATTGGGCTAACACCATGAGCTGATAATTGATGGTTTTCAACCATTCCCATGAGAGTGAGCAAAACAAAAAGGTCCACCAGTCACGGTGGTGGTTTTCTTTTGTCAGGTCCACCAGCAATGGCGGAAATTTTTTGTTCAACTTTCTCTCCTGGGAATGGTTGAAAACCATCAATTCCTCAGCCATGAATTATACAATCTGATTGAAATTTGTGTAGAGAATAATTTATACTGGCGAAAACTTTTCAGCATCCATCCAAAGTTCGTTTCGGTTATTCAAATTCACCTACCTTGAGGCTAGGAAATTCCATCATCTTGATATCATCTGGTGTAAGAATAATTAGCTCGGTAATCGCATCAGATGGCATTTCGTTGTAAAAATCACGAATAAAATGATTAGGTTCGTAGTCATAGCTGTCTTCATTAGTTGGTATAAGGGTGTTACATGAGCAAAACGCGATACCTTCAGATGATCTTCCGGGCTTTTCTGAAAAAGAAAAAAGTGATGATACATATTGAGATTGCAGTCTTGCATTGGAGAAATATCACAAGACAATTTATTGGCAAAATGGTGGGAACTAGCGGTAAACTAGTGTGAGCTGCGTCGGTGTTWCTAAAGAAACAGTTATGTAAAAAGATAAATTTAACACCGTAAAAAAGTATGTGGAAAAACTTACTGACGTTTCGGATGTTATTATATTATGTTTATTGTTTTTGGTTTGTCTTTGATTAGCGGCAATAATGATTGTCGCAAAACCAAAGAAATGCGGCTCATTCACCAATTGGGCACTTATAATCCCCATGGGTTGAATGAACGCTTTGTTTTCAGATAAGTTTTAATTCTTTTGTTTCCTTTTTAGCACCTTTATTGTTCTTTTGTCTTACACTTCCTTTGCTTTTTTGTTTATTTTTCGTTACCATGCCTACCTTGCTCCTATTGGTCTATTCTCTTTGTTACTCTTACTATATAAACTCACACTATACCTAGTTCTCTATCTTTACTCCGACGAAGGATTAACATCCGAAACGTCAGTAAGTTTTTCCACATACTTTTTTACGGTGTTAAATTTATCTTTTTACATAACAATTTATTGGCAATGCTGTGTTGCTGAATGTGGAACCCAATCGAATACTAACCTGGGCTGACAAATCTTTTAATCCACTCAAATCCAGGGCTCATATCAGTTAGAAATATCTTAGGAACCAATCTTTTCACTAGTAACATCTTGAAGAAAGCTGCCCATAGTTGATCCGTGTCGTAGCAATGGCCGCTACTGTGAATCCAGTAGACCAGCATCCCAACTGGGAACAGCTTCACTTCCACATTTTCCAATTCAGTTAAGGATCTCTTCTCTTGTTTATACAAAGTTAGGATCCTGTTGTCAATTGCCAGTCCACAAATGACAGGTTTTTGTGAGTGAAATCCGTCAGGAGCATAACAACCTGGATGATAATATAAGTAGAATAAGAATTTATTTTGTTGTAATAGTGGTGTTGAATAACGTCTATTACCTGGTATTTTCTCTGTGCACGTTTTGACTGCGTCAAACAGTTGGTTATCCCAAGAGATCACCATTTTCGTCAACCCCGACATTTTTGTTTCCTTAATGGATGAGAAAAATATCAAGTTATGAGAATATTTGTTATAAATGATTTGGTATATTTAGCATAGTTAACTATGGGTACAGTGAAGCTGGATTGTTGATTTTGCTGAAAGGCGGTTGGGCTAGTGGATGGATTGATCGATCCAATGGTTGCAATTTGTGGCTTTGGTGTGAACTAAATTATTTTCCTTTCATTGTAAGTTGATAGAGAATCAAAAAGTGAAAACCGCTCACCTGTTTTGCTTCCTTTTCGATACTTGATCGAACGTATTTTTCTTTCTCCATCAACTGCCTCCGTCTGTTACTACACCAGCTATGCGCCGGGGCATTTTCAGTTGCTTTCTTTACGGCTTCAAGTTGTGATTCCATTGTCTCTAATGAATCAGAGTAATTCATCAATTCACTTGTTTGGATCCTCTTTCCATTGACATCCACTTCTTTAATCTCTAATTCAGTAAGAATGCTTCTCCATTCTCTCCACGTTTGTTTCAAAAAGCGCTGGATGCGAAAATCCAAAACAGACTCGACGGAGGAAACATACGATGACAGTTGAATACTAGTGCAGGCCCAGAGATCTTCATCTGGAGAGCTTTGATTGTATCCGGCAGCCTGCAAGGAGTGTATGGCATCTTGATTGGCCTCCAAACCAATCACATGTTTGTGAATGACATTCTGTATTGCTTGATGGTCCGGTTGACTTGAATTGTCAATGTAATGAAGGGTGTGGTGGACTATCGATTTCAAATGATCAAAAAGAACTGGTCTGTATTTTACACTTCTTGCAAGTCGTCTGAAGACGGCCACAAGTCCTCTAGAGAGTTGTATTTGAGATGTCAGGTTTGACATTGACTCTTCATTTACGCCACCTTCTGTAGTGAACAGAAGAACAAACATTTCCTTGAAAAAGTTAAAGCGCACTTTGTACATCCCTCCTGATGAAGTTTGGTTTTCTAGGAAACTTGAACACAAATTGTGAGTCCCATCTTTGACCTTTTCCAAAAAACGAGTATTTGTTTCAAACATTCTTGCAATGGAAGCAAATTCATCCAATATCTTTGCAAACTGTAAACGTCGTTTGAATGATTTCAAGCTTTGCAATTCAAGTTTAGTGAAGCTGTGGCCATTGTGCCATGTTTTGGGAGCAGCTGCTGTAAATAAGCAAGACTCGATTTCTCCAGGTTCTTTGGAGATGAGCTGGATTGTGCTTGGAGTCAGATTTATGATACAATGAACGTCTCTTGAGGTGAGCTTTTCGTATAGAACCAGGCTCGTGCACCATGACTCGATAACCGACCTGGAAAACCCAGCTTCAATCATAGTCTTGGACCATGTGGTGATTTCCTGTAAATATAGCGCATCACATTCCTCTCGTGTTTCCTTTATGCTCGTTAATTGCTCGATAACCTTATCAGCAGAGTTAGGGAAAACCTTGCCAATGTACGGTACAATTGTAATCATACCGGTCAATGAAGAATCCTCTTCTTCAATTTTAGACAAGAACTTGAAAATTTCTTTTGAATTGCTCCATCCAGTGATAGTTTTTAGGCAATCCACGGAAATATATCTTTTTCCATAATCGGCGAGCTTCTGTAATAGTTCTTTGATCAAACATACATCTTCTGTTGTACGTACGATTTCTGCCATAACATCTATTGGTGCTTCCAAACTTTGATAACAGCGCCCATTGGAGGTCATGCCGTTGAGTGTATCTAGAATGTTTTTATTGATACTTAAGGCTTCCTCGCGAGTTTTCCTTCCATTCTTCCAAGTAACCGCAGCGACAATCACGTCTTTACATAGAAATGCATGTATTGAGTCGAGGGCTAGCCAGTGCTGAACTTCCTCAATAAAATCTGAGTGTCGTAGAATATCTCTAAATAAAGAGATATATTTTTCAGTTGTCTTCCTGGTGTTTGTAGTATCATTAGGAAAGATCGTAGGCTCACAATAGCATTTCTTGAAAAATGGGAATTGTGTATTCTTGAACAGCGTTTCGCTCATCTTCGTTGTTGTATTTTTCAAATCTCTCTCGGCAACTTTTAATCTCTTCAGCTGGTCGGTCACAAAGCATACTAATGCTCCAGGAGAATACTGATTGATTTCCTGAATGTCCGTTCCGGAATGCTGTATCTCCTTAAAGAAATCGACGTACTGGTCTGACTTACAGGCTTGCTCGCAAGCACGAAGGGCTGTGGGTAAATTGCTGATGTCCAGATGATCGTTATCTACAAAAGTTTGAAACTCCCATTGCGTCAAGGCAGCATCTATTTCCATGTGCTCCACTTCTGTCAGTTGGTAAGCCATTTTAATCATCTTTTTGATCTTTTCTCGCATTTCCTCCGGCCAAGACGTTGTCTGAAGTGCTCGGACCAACTGTTTAGGAATGTTTATGGAAGCATTTCTCTTACTGATTATCATCCCCAGGTCTTCTCTTGTCCACTTCCAGTCCTTCAGGACGAGAAGAAGTGTCGTAATTCTGTGCTCTTCCTTCATACCAATCTTGTAGCATTCTTTAATGCAAGATACCATCAGTGGTTCCAGTGGGGGTGTCATTATTCGTATCATGTCCTCTACCTTTTGTAGACTATCTTCAAATTCCTGAGAAGAGACATTTTCCTCTATGGTGGCATAGACCAAGTCAATAAAACATTCAGCATTCCTTTCATTCGCTATTACCTTCTCAAGGAGAAGGATGAACAGCTTGCTCGATTTGTTGTGAGTAAAAGACATCGGCGACTTTTTAGATATGACGTGTAACAGCGTCATTTCTTCAGAAGAAGAACTGCACATGGGTACCCTTGATAATTTGTGAATTTGTTCCACTGACATGGTCATCACGCTCAAGAAATGTTCCTTCAGGCTGCTGGACGGAATATTTAAGAATGGACCACTTGTTTCAATCCTTTCCTCGCCCGGTATAACAAGTTGACGCGCGAGTGATGGCGACTGAAGGCAATCCAGAAGATTCTCAAAGTTGGTGATGCCTCTTCGTTGATTTTTCTGCTTGGTGTCTGGTATTTTAAAGAGATGAAACATAATGTGCTTTACCTCTTGAATGCTTGTTATGTTTCCTCTTTCAAGCAGCTTGCAAACGCATGGAATCAAGAGAGTGATATCCTTGAATGTTAAAGGGAACTTAAGCATTTCTTGTAGTCCCAGAAAGAGTCCGATAATTTCAATTTGTACAAATTTCTTTTGACGAATTATTTTGATGAGCTCATTATAAAAAGCAAGCATATCCATTTGCGTGATTTCATTCTTGCGAAGTTCTAGTGCAGTGCAGATAAACACCATGGCTAGATCGTGTTCAGCTTTGTCAAAGGTACCAACAGAAATCCATTCTACTACGCATGTCACTAAATCCTGGCAATTCTCAGCGCTACATGAAGAAGCCATTGATAAAAAGGGAACAATCACTTGTGCAAACAAACTGAATAATCTACTTGAATGTAGACACCCATCGATAGCATTGAATAATGCAGTTACTAGATCATCGAACTCTCTCTTGTGATAAACACGCCCTATTTCAAAGATATTTAGTCTGACATACTCATATCCGCACCATACAGTGCAGCACTGTACAACAAGAGCACAACTATTCCAGTTACCGGGATTTTCAAGGCGATGATAAAATTGTTTTACACTGGATGTGTTAACTGATAAAATTAGAAAATCGTTGCATAGCATCATGATTTTTTTCAGGTCTGCGATATCTTTTGCATTCTTAATCAATCTTAAATGAGACATGAAGATTTCCTCTTTATCCGCTTCACCAATAGAACTGGATACTGAGATCAGTCTGAATATGCTACTCCAGCTAAAATCAAACATCTGAACTGCATTTCCTGACTGAATCAACAGCGTTTCACCTGATGGTGGAATATCATAACTTCGTACAATTGTGATGAAATCTGACAAGTACTTCCTAATGTTCTCAGCTTCCATATATGGTGCAATAGGAGTGAGTATTTTGAGGGTTAGTTTGTACCTTTCAAGATCAGAATCTTCTAGTAGACGTTCTATTATAATCGGCAATACTGTTGTTTTAACCTGGCCATCTGCATTCAATGATGCAAAACAATTTGTTATGATATTCCTTAATTGTTCTTCAAATTCGACGAGTCCTTGTGCCTCTAAATCTGAAAAAAACTCGATGAACTTTAAGCTCTCTTGGCAGTTCCAAGAATCTGGAAACGCCTTTACTAAACAAAAAAACAACGATAGCCAGTCAGTTGTAGTGGAAAGAATATCTAAAGGAAGTTGTGACAAAAAGTCAACCAGATTATTCAGGATAACCTCGCAGTGATGCAGTTTCATCGTTTCTATTCTCTGGAAACCCATTGGTCGCGTTATATAAGGCATTTCCTTTGATATTTTTGGTCCCAAAATAGTGAAAACCAAGATCTTTGTCAATATTCCATAAGATGACTCGTTTTTCGGAAAAGTGGTTCTCCAAAACTTAACGATTCTCTCGATTGGTGCGTGATAATCTTTTTGACTGAGTATTGCTTCGGCAACTACTTGAAACATAAGCAATTGGTGACGTCTTCCTGATAAGTCTCCATACTCCCATAGTCGTATATCAAGTTGCCATGGATGAAGTGATGACATGATTGACTGACAAATTTTCTTATCTTCCTCGACATTTGGACTTGAAGACATTTCGTTATTGCTAAATATTCCAAACAACATCTCTAGGCAAGTCGTTGGAACGTCAGATTGAATAAGCTTCATGCACAATTTACTCTGAAAGAGAAATATAAACTTGTTTTTGAACAGAATGTCTTGCCTCTCTTTGTCTTCAATGCAGAGGGGATTGCAGTCCATATCTTTGTATTTAATAGAGGAAACACGAGAAATTAACGATTCTTTGTATATTTGTTGTTCATAGTTGTCCGATGTACTTTGGTGATCGGTATAAAAAGCAATGTCATGCTGTGCAATTCGAATGGCGAACAAATTTGTCACAAATGAAAGTTGCAGCAAATTATTCCAATGGTAGAGTAAAGAGTTCCTCATCCAAGAGAGATTTTCTTCCAGATTAAGATTTATCTTCTGATCCTCCTTGGCTATCATAGCTGTCTTCCTAATAAGTTCGTCAAAGTGTTCATCATTGATCCTTTGCTTTAATGAACCAAATGTTCTTTGGAAGAACTGCTGTAATTTTGACGGTTCGTAATCATTTAAGTTACCAAATAATGTTAGCTTGTAGCTAAACATTACTCGATATAAATTGACAAGTTCTACCAAACATTTTGACAGTATGACCTCGGAACGGAGGCTGGACTTTCCATCCGCACATTTGGATTTCAAGATCTCGTCACAAAGCCCTGCCGTACAGTCTACCAACAAGGCCGGATTAGGAAAACATTGCCCATCTTCTCTATGATCCGCTTGCTGCTTTGAATAAAGCGAGAGGCATAATTCTACCAGTGCGATTGACTCATCTTCGAAGACTTTAGGCTCGGAGTAAACCTTCTCGAGACTGGCGAGACCTTTACGAATAATCTTGGCCACAAAATTCCCATTGAGCTGTTTAAGGTTATTGATAACATTAAACTTTCCATCTTCGGAGTGGAAATTCAATTGTAACAACTCACTGCACAACGCAGTGAATTCGGAAGACTGAACACGACATGTTCTTTCGAGTTGTTGTTTAGCATTCTGTATCCTTGTCGAGAAGAGATTTTTCTGCTCTACATCTTTAGTTTCTCCACTTTTCAGTTCGCTCATAACGTAATTCAGCCATTAGGAAGTAACATTCTTGCTGAAAAGAGAAAGGGAACTTAAACTTTGGGAAATAGACTTCCAAGAGTGTCTTCGCGAAAGCCAAATCATTGGTACCACTCAGACTGGATTTAAGTTATAAAAATTAATAGGCAATTAAAAAGTTTAGTCAACGCTAGAACGCTCGAAAACTGATGTGTAATGTCCCCATTGAAACCATTGAAAAAATGCTTTTGGTTACGGGAGCAGATTTTAAAGTCCACCTCACCCAAAAGACTTTTGCTATAGTAACAACAATTTGTACAAACAAATTTGATTTCGTTTATTTAAGGTACATTTTGAAGCGAAAACAACCGCAGAGAAAGCCAATTTCGGGATTCCTGTGTGCCTGATCAAAGTCTTCGTGATGACGTAGAGGGAGTATTAAGTCGTTCGAGAGACAACGATAGATACCTACAGTGAAATGACACTAAAAATCAAATCTGAAACTAGAGAACCTGGTATTTGAACAGCTGTAAATACTCCTACATATATTAAAAGAAGTGACTTACTCGGGCCATAAATAACTTTTCATGTTGCTCGATATAGACCTAGATCTACGCAACACTCAGCAACACTTGCTCGTCTAGGATAATCTCTCAACACTTTTACCAAGACATAAAATAACGTTCAAATCGTCAGACTAATCTCTAGTAGCATTAGATTTGCCGTTCCAGGTTGGATTGTCCCACGTTCAGTCTTAGAAAACATAGATTTGTATGAAGTATGGAGAATTTGTACAGTAAACTTTCGAGTTACTCCATCTACTTCATCAACCCAGGCTCCCTCGCACTCGGTTAAAAATCATTTGGCCGAATTAAACGAGCTTAAAAAATATAGAATTTGGAAATTGAGGTGGACTTTAAGTCGAATCGACTACTCTTCATTAATAATGCTATATATTTTTTCTCATTACGAATTCAGTCAAATTCAATGATTATGGAAATGATTTCAAAATATTCTCAGGTATTGTTATTATTGAGAAGGGAACCCTGATGGGCACACAGTAAACGAAAGTGAAAGAACTTGTGGCCGTCACAGACAGACAGTCTTCTTTGTAGAGTGTGCGATTTTATCCAGTTTTCTTTGTACAATGTAGCCTGAATATCAGCCGCATCCTTGTGTATCATCGGCTATGTGCAATGCCTTTCAATTTGTATCGACAAAGTGGACAGGAAAACAAATTTTTACGTAGAATGTGCACAAGCAATATTTTTCACTCGTCTCGTTTTGAATTTTGAATAGTTTCAGCCAGTTTAGTTTCTTATATATTTTCTCGAGAACGGCTGCGACGAAGACTAAATTCAGTTGATATTTTGTTTTCAAATCGAAGAAAATTAGCCAAGATTCCGAAAATGTTGACATTCGCTACGGACCGTTGAGCGTTTGATATGTCTTATTTAAGTTTGTCTTGAAGACTCGTTGTAAAATAAGTACATGTGGCTTGCCAGCCCTACAATCCTACATAGCAGTTACAAACTTACACTAACCATTGACTAACAATGAAGACATAAAAAAGTTCATAATTACTGCTATTGCGAACGTCGCTTCGAAAAATAGTGTGAGCATCTCGTTTGCCTAGTCTATCTCTGCTCTGTATTTTCCGTCGCAAAGTGGACGTGTACACGACGCCATGTACAGGAAAACAATCTCTTACCAGGGTGATGTACTGATTATATAATAAATCTTCAATAACTATATAAACTATCGATATCGACTAGGATTTACCTTACTGTGACCTGCTGCCCTAGAGTCTCACTGCATTACCTGGCTTACCTTATTTCATACGTTTCTACATCCTCAAACAACTTAGTAGAACGAAGTCATCAGTGAAATGGTGAAATAAGATTCTTCCGGATGAATTAACTATTTTAAGAGGGTTTTTTCCCTTTTGTTTCAATTTTGATGAGTCATTCTCCTTTTGTCGATGTACCAATCAAATTAGACGTGTTACAGTTGAAAACATTTCTCCGAATTGTGATGTAAACCAAACATTGATGTCATGGTTAAAAAAAATCCCCTGAAATATGATCATGTCATGAGCCTATCACGCCACCGAAGGCCTGGAAGTGACTCTCGCGGTCTGGTAAGCATTTCTGAGAGACGACTTTAATTTGTAAAAAAACGTTTGGTTTGAACTGAATCTTTTTACAGTCATGTACACAAAATAAGTCTACATTGAACCAGTTGTACCTATTACAAGTCATTACAAGCTAAAAACTACATGGAATCTGAGAATTGCTATGTAGAAAACAATGGGGAAAATTGTGAAAATTATATTTCCAATAAATTTACATTATGTCAAATCTTGATTACTCTTTGTTCCAAATTATAATAAGTTAAAAGATTTGTGTTCTTTTATTTCTTCTTCTTTCCTTTGTCATTTGATTCTCTTCCTTCACCATTCCTCTTCTCGCCCTTTGGTTTTTCTATAATCAAAGACAAAATTAAGAGCTTTTATATTTCTATTTTGGATCACATTCAATGTGTAAAGGACTAATGAGAGGTAGTTCTTCTCAAAATGCTGGACTGCCTGATAGATGTTAGAACCGATGGACTTGAGATGGGAAGGATGGAGCCACAGCGAGGTCTGGAAGGTGAACCGTTCAGAAACCGCGGAAATTGAAGAATTTGTTTTACTTACTTCTTTAAATGACTCCGAGCAGCGTGCTAAATGTAACATTGGGGCGCAAATATGTAGCGAGAGACGACTGAAGATGAGATATTGTCTCTAAGGGACCGTCCATTATTTATTATGGGTAATTAATTAGCAAAGGTAACGTTTTTTAGGGGTTCCGCTACAATACGTGCATTATTTTCAATGACCCCCCTTATCCTTAAAAGAAATTTTTCGACCTCCACCCCCCAAAAAAAATAAATAAATAAAACATTCACATACCGTCTATGTACTTTAAAAAAATATTCCTCCTCCATGTCCCTGCCACTCTTTCACTACGAGTTGTAGTCACAGAACTGTAATCATCCACATCACTTATATCACTGTCAGTATCTCTGATCTCGATCAATAGCTTTGTGCTGTGTGAGCAGTGATTGTATTTTATCTATGTGTGCGTCAACTAAGATCACACTGTGAACCTGCAGAATATGATTTAATGTGAAGGCATACTCTTTTTTTGCAGGTATTGCCTAGGAAAAGAAGGACCAAAGTACTAATGGAGACAAGGACTAAGACATACCTGGTACCATGTGATATTAATATATCGTTTTATTGGATATATAGATATTGATGCATAGATTACAAAAAGATCCGTAAGTAATGATTGATTTTGCACTTAGAACTAAAATATTATGACATTCAAGCTATCCGGTTAATGAGTTTTATCAGGAAACTTCATTCATTGTCTCTTCAAAAAAACAGGCTAAACATCTTGTGCATTAAACCAGTTTATTTTCTAGTTTCTAGAATTGAATTATTTGTTGTTCATAAAAAGCTACATTCACCTTCTCGTTCCTTGTACATAGAAGGTGTATATAAATGGAAAGCACGGGCAAGTTGGAATGGTGTTTATCGTTACACCAAACGGTTCAATATATCATTTGTTCTTGGGTGCTTATAAAGATTGGTTAAACTATTTTTGAGAACACTATCGTAAACAATATTAGACTATATTGGGAAAACTACAGCTCTCGGCAAAATGTGAACACCCCATGCACTCCCCTGTTTCAAAGTTGGGATTCTTACAAAGAAGCAAGGCCGACAAGATGAGAACCAACTTGAAACAAGGGTGGGGTTAATATCGCAGCTAATTGTTCGTATATTTTCGTCGAAAGCTGTAGTGTCCTTTTGTACCCTATACTAGATTTTACAGTGCTGTGGAACTTGTTTTCTCTCTAATTTTCCATTTAAAAATGGATAATACGTAATGGGGTTATTTAATGGAAACGACGGAGCTGCAAACCAGACTTTCCTCATCCCTATCTGTAGTGAATTCATTTGACTGCAAGAACTGTACGTGTTCACAGCAATCATATTCCTTGGTATATTCTGCATGTCCGTCAATCTCAGTTTGAAGAGCGTCAAGAATAATTTGAGCGTAGAAATCCTTGCCGTTTTCTCTCACTATACCAGCATCTTTAAATCTTTCCTTTTTGCGTATTGGCCAGCATAGCTTCTCCAAGTCGATATGAGCTGAAACTTTTCCTAAGTCAAGCAATTCTTTATCAACTGAATCTTCTGATAATTTCCTAATGGCAAACGTGAGTCTTTTCGTCAACGTTGCTCGAGTTTCTTGCTCCGGATGCTTTTCCAAAAGCCGGCTGCTGTTTTGAACTGATTCAGGGACTTTTTCCATTAGGTTTCGTATGAGTTGGTCCCTTTCTGGAGACTAGATGTTGAAAGGAATTTTCACATGACTCAAGATATGCTTGGTGCATTATAAGCAATGAGTTTGTATTGTATTGTATGATTTCAAATTGAAAATGAAGATTATGCAGCCAGTTCAGAAAAGGTTGTCCGGCAGAGCGACTGGAGAAAACAAGGACGGTCGAAAATTGCTGTGGATATTGATTATTCGTGGCAATGTACCCTTAATAAATGGGCTTCACACTGTCTTTTCCACCGAAGGAAGAGTCTTTGATAATGGTTGTTTGGTTTGTTTTTCAGGAGATTAATGATTATTTTTAAAAAACGTTTGAGTCGCGCGCAATCGCCGTTCCGTTCTGACAACCTTTTCTTGAAATAGCATTCTAGAGTCTCGTTAAACGTATTCAAACGTTCTCATGAAACTACTGCAAATGGACAGTTATAAAATATACGTCATCTTAAAAAAAATATTCGTATAAAAATATACCTGGACATTAAAAGATGCCAAATAAACTTTTATAAGAAAGTAACGATGGAATCATGATGCACTTGGATATTGGAATAGTGCTTACCTTAAGGTTATGAAATTCCACTTGTTTTACGTTGTCCGGCGTCAGTACGATAAGCTCATCCATCTGGTGATTTGACAATTCACTACGAAGTCGATGAAGTGAGATATTGGGTTCGTAGTCATAGCTGTCTTCATTAGTTGGTATAAGGGTGTTACATGAATAGAACGTGACACCTTCAGGTGGGGACGACACTGTAAAGAAAAGCCACTAATAATTTAATAAAAGAATTTCAAAGTCTTGCAGATTNTGTAAAGGTTGAGAACATCCACTGGTTTAATCCGGGCTTCATTCTTTCGGATTTTCAGGTAAACACAGACAAGACTTAAGGCAATATTATTTCCACGTTCGTCGAAGGTTTTAACGGCGATTGATCCAGCTATGCATGCTAGCAGAATTTGACAAACGTCAACATCACATGATGCCTCATTGATCATTGGTATATACCGAATGGCTGTTTCAGCAAATTTTTTACGATCTTCATCTGATTGTAAAGTGTTTTCTACTACAATCAGTACGAATGCAATGAGATCATTGATAAAGTCATTCCCGTGGTGTTTTAAATTGCTAGCGCAATGTTCAATCAAGAAGCAGGAGCATCGATCTTTCTTTCCCACGAGCTCCAGTAGTCTTACTGCATTTGCTGCATTAATTGGTAAACTCATCAATGCCAAGGAACGGCAGATAGCCTCAGTCATATTTTCCTTTGACGTCTTCTTAAGAAGCTGTAGATAAAACTGTAAGACTTTTTCTTTCTCATCCATGGGCGAATTTGCAATTACATTGAGGACACGGCACGCATTAATGTAGTTTTCGCGTTCTACGCTCTTCCCTTCAACAGCATCAACAAAATCAAGAAGGTATCTTTTGGCTGTATCGGCTTGGGTTACTGGTATCACGTGGACGGCTCCATTCAACGCTAATTCAAATTCAAGGGCCGTAGGAATACTATCGTACAATTCCCATATGAGCTCCAACACTTCAGCCTTGATAGTTTCTGTAACAGGATTTCTTGCAAGATTTCCCATGATAAAGGTTATAACCGTCATCAATTTCTCTCGGCTTTCTCCGTCGGAACATTCTGGCGCTGAGCACTTAGCCATAAATTGCTTTATAAAATTTCCTTTGATGTTCCATGAATTAGGAAATGTCATCATCAATGATACCAATAGTGCAATCCAATTAGATATACTTGTTCTTGGGATGAGGTGTTTAGGAAACTGGTGTAAAAATTCCACGAACCTGTCCGCGTTACGTTGAGGCTCGTCTTGGTCCAACTGCGTTGCTACAGCCATAGGTCCACAAAGCAGAAAGAGTGCATCGTAATGTTCGTCAATGAAATTTTGCTTCCAGAATCTGAGAATTTCAATGACTGGTTCTTGATTAGGAAGAATAAGCAGCCAACTGACAATGCAACCAAAAATCAATGTCAGCCTACTCCTGATTTGAACAGATGCGGAGTGTTGATCTTCCTCTATCTTCATTCTCATAGCATTCAACGTCTCAATGTTGAGGCCAGATCTCCGATACATCACGCACATCTTCATAATTTCACCATATTTCTTGCTTTGATCGGCTGTCATTTGGGGYAACCATTCTCTGTTTAATTGAATCCCTAATATCTCAAATACTTCTTTGATGTAACTGTTGGAGACATTTGATTGAAGAAGATCGAACGAAACTTTGGTATGACGTAACATTATTTCTGCATGGTCAAAAAAGATCTGGAGCCTTTCCTTGTCACTGGGCAATTCATAACTGCTGTCGTTTGAGCACAGTGTATTTAGTCCCGAGTAAATCATCCAAAGAAGGGACTCCGAGTATGTGCTTGCACTACTGTACTGAAGACTTGCTGAATACTCTTCGTCATTTAGAAGGAAATCCTTCTTGGCGATAGAAACAGCACACCAGCTTGTAATGAAAGGAAATTCTAATAGCTTTACCCATGCCGTCATCAATCTCGCGGATATTTGGCCATCGGAACTTTTCGCATTCAAATAATTCAAATTGGCATCTCTTGATGCAATTTTGGCTGTCTGGTGAAGAACGTCTTCAAATGATTCATCTACGATTTTTCGTTTTAACACTCCTAAAAGAAACTGACAAGCATCTTTTGAGGCCAGGCTTAAGTTTGGTCCTTCTAAACTAAAGTCAAAGAAGAGCCTATTTTGTAAAATAGTCTCAAATATTTTGACCAACTCAATCAAGCACGTTGACAGCAATATTTGTGTTGATGTCGATTCAGTTCCTTCTCTTGATTTCAGAAGCTCATTGGAAAGCTCGAAAGCACAGTCGACCATCATGGCGGGGCTTGGYGAAGTGTAATCATTRCCCTGCTTCTCGTACTGTGTAACACAAAGCTGCACGAGTTTGATGGACTCATCCTCGCAGGTCTTTGGGTCATCRTAGRCCTTAATGAGGCTGGAAAGACCTTTGCGAATAATTTTGGCTACAAAATTGCCATTCAGCTTAGAAAGAYTGTCAATAACGGYCAGCCKTCCTTGTTCTGAATAGAAATTGAAGCGAAGGAGCTCATTGCAGGTGTCAGMGAAATCTGATTGACAAGCTGAGGCATTTGAAYWGCCACTTTTAATRAGTTTTTGGATTGCATTTTGAGTCTCTGGAGCATAGGGGTGGTTTTGTTCCATTCGAATTTTCTTGGAATCCGATCGATATTTCTGTTTGATGTACTATTGAAGAAATATACAGTTTAAGTAAGTTCACACAACGAAATGATACGTAGAGAACTACAGAAACAGAAGGCATAAGCATAACACAAGGCCAAGCATAAGCCTTCTTATTATTTCACCCCGGACTGCTCCCAGTCTGAACTTGTAGCCCAGCTGGTCCCTGGCCAGTGATTCTGGAAATTAATTTTTACGATTTATAACAAGGTTCTTTCGCCCGGAATAACCTCCTTCTCTAGTTCTTCTCTAGTGCTATGACTTTGAAATTTTGAAGACAAACCTTAAAAGGTGTTTCTTAGTGGTTGGCACTCCCGCGCACCTAACATTTTTAAACGGCCGTTTGACCAACTTAATGTAACTCGATTTTCATTATATAAACAAGCTATGTATTGTTGTACTTGACCAATTGGCTCATATTCATAATGAAATGCCAATGTCTGACGCTCAGTTTTACAGCAAAAGACTTACTTTACTTATAAGATAATGCTGTACAAGTATAAAGTTATTTCTCTTGGTAGTTTTGAAGATGTGATTTTTTTTCAGTAAACCGTAGTTTATGCAGCGAAAAAGTTTAGTTTTAGCGCTTTTCCAATTAATTCAAAAATGAGGCCGAATTTTTTTTCTTATTAATTGAGTTGTTTTATCGCTATATGTACAACATTGTTGCAAAGTTTCAGATGTATTGATACATTCAAACCTGGTCAAAAAAAATTAGAAAGTTTGCTTGAAGACGTGTTGAACATATTAGAGACATACATTATGTTTTTCGAGTGCGCACGAGAAAATGTTTTAATATATTCAGGCGGATGTAACGCATTCCTTGAATGTAATATGTAGCGCTTTTATACGCAAATGAACAAGTCTTTTGTCTTTACGATATCTTTGGGTTCTAATTTATCTCAGTTTTTCTCTCCTGTATCGCAGAAGTACGTTGATGCTTCTCAGTAGCATTTTTCTACATGTTCGAAAGCGAAGAAAGCAAATCAAACATTTTGCATTCTTTTCTTTCATGTAATGACGGAATGCGTTAAATCCGCCTAACAAAAAAATCAAAGAATTATCTCAGAAATTACAAATAACTTTGAATCAATAACAAAATAAAAAAATTGGTGCAACGAATTGTTTATTTGCGTATTCCAATAAAAGCGCTACTAGTACATTCAGGGAATGCGTTACATCCGCCTGAATATATTAAAACATTTTTCTCGTGCGCTGTCGACCATGTAGCCAAAAACATAACATCTTGAACGCGTCTCGAAGCAAACTTTGTAATTTTTTTACCAGGTTAAAATGTATCAATCCAATTGAAACTTTGCAGCAATTTTGCCCATATAGCGATGAAACAACTCAATTAAGAAGAAAAATAAATTCGGCCTCATTGTTTAATTAATTGGAAAAAAGCTAAAAAACTACACGGGTCTTTTTCAGAATCGCTGCATAAACTACCGTGTACTGAAAAAAATCACATCTTCAAAACTACCAAGAGAAATAACTTTATACTTGTACAGCATGATCTTATAATCCAAACAAGTCTTTTGCTGTAAAACTGAGCTTCAGACATTGGCATTTTATAATGAATATGGGCCAATTGTGAGCGTGCTCGCAAAAGCACAAAAAACGCAACACATACAGGTTTAAATCTTTTGATTTTGAGATATATTATTAGCAATGTCCAACAGTTAAACGAAGTACTTTTGGTTTTTCTAGGTGCCATCGAAATTGGCCGGAAAACAGCTTTCTTTGAATTCTTTCTTTCTACCATAAAACTGCTACTTTTGCAGTACATTAAAAATCAATACATGTTTAAAAATTTTCCATCTAAGTACAACATAGCTTGTTTATTTAATGAAAATCGAGTTACATTAAGTTGGTGAAACGGCCGTTTAAAAATGTTAGGTGCGCGGGAGTGCCAACCACTAAGAAACACCTTTTAAAACCAATTTGCCTTGGTGGCATTCGCCTTACTGTAAAACTAAATCTCTATACTGAATTATTATATTGTCTTTATTTAACTACAAATAAATAAAAATATAGTCAAAAAAATGTCCAGTCATAAAATTCATGAATTATTTATGTCCTCTCGCATCTATTGTTATCAAGCGAATATATTCTCACCTCTGGGTATTAGAAATAAAAGGTGCGTATACGCTAAAACAGCTAGAGAAACAAAGAGAAAATGTGTCCGTCGGTCGTTAATGAACTCGAAGCAAAAATTCCGGTAAAAATCTTAAAGGAAAACGAAAGTGAAAACGACGGTTACCGACTTCGAGTGAATCCGGAATTAGAGTTTTTCTCTCAGTTTCTTGTGTCTGAAATAAGTCTTATGGTGTTTAMTAATAACCTTTTTATAGTATTTTCTAAACTTTCGACTTCTTCCAAGAGATTTTACAGTGAAGCTTCCGCGGGGAGAAATACACGAAATGATTGTGCGTTGCTGCCGTTTGAACTGACGGGTATCAGACGCGATTGCATCTAAAAAGCGTGATCGATGTATCACTAATACCTCAATGTTATAGGGATTTCGCCAGCTCTTTATAACATATGATATGCTATGATATATAAACTTGTAATCTAACTTACCTTAAAGCTGACGCAGTTCAGATAGATTTGAAGTTTTTTATTGCGAAATTTGTTTTTATGCACCTCAAGGGAAATTTTTGGGGAATCCCCGGAATTTCAATTCGGGGAAACTCCCACAAGATGTTCTTTTAGCCAATTGGATTGCATGTGTGACAAGGTCAAGATTATGTGACACCCATATTTGGAAAATAGCGTGATCATGTTTTGTAGAGCGCGTTTTACGCAAGTTAATCAGTTCTGCTCCTCGCTCCAGATTCGGTCGTGTTTGGTTTTGTTTCTTTTCTCTATGTGTCATGTTTTTTTCCAACAACTTATCAAAGTGAACCTGCCAACTACAACTAAATTCCATCACTTTTCAACCCGGTCCCACACATGCTATGGTTGAATTCCCGGATTTCGATTCGGGGAAACTCCCACAAGATTTTCTTCAGCCAATTGGATATAATGATTTACATGTAAACCCTCGCAAAATCGTAACGATATCGTTGGCCTATCAATGATAAACTTTCAATAAATATAAATAACAAATTAACTACCCAATAAAATAATAAAATGACATGAAATAATAGTAATGATTTTTTGTGAAATTTTGTGTTGTCATGATGTTGCGAAAACAAGTTTGATAGCGTCATGATATGTATTCCGCTTTGAATATTTTAAATATTCTTGGAAATTTAATTTTTTTTCTAGATTTGAAAATTTTGAAAATTTTTCATCATAGTCTTCTTCTTCTTCTAAGCCTTCTTGGTTCGTAGTACTGTTGCATGATTCTCTTGACTTTTAGCTGACCAGTCCGTCTATACATAATTTTTCATAACATTCAATGAATGTATTTTATTATCCTATTATAATTCTATTTACATGTAAATGTTTGTACAATGAGGAACAAATTTTGCCATTGCAATGAAGACAATTAACTCAAACAAAGTTGAACTGCACTGAATATAATAATTCACAGCAACTGCTGCATGGCTCAAAATCTGTTTAAAAAACTTTTTGTTTGAAATGAAACTTTTCCAAGATGATATTAATTCATTGGCAGACATGCACATAAACTAGATTTAGCCATAACATTGATCTTGTTTCATCAACCAATAAGTTATTTTATTACCAAGCTTTCGGGCCTTAGGCCCATCATCATTTAGCCAGTTCAGGGACCGCGGAGCAGGGGGGCTTGGGGGCTACAGCCCCCCCAATAATTTTCCCGCCATTTTGAATTTTCTTAAATAAAGAAGTAAAGAGCCTCCTTTTGAAATTTCACTTTTCATTCTATAAAGACTGTGTAAAAACAGAGCATGAAAAATTAAAATTGAAGCTTTTTACGAAGTCTTTGGGATTTTATTGAAYATCATGTGACCGTGTGTGTGGTTTAAGCGGTCAGAAATATGACTTGGATAACGGCTCAAAACGCTGGTAAAGAGATCTAAAAGATTTCAAAATTTTGCTGGGGGAATATCCCCAAACCCCCCTGTACCCTCTTCCTTTGGCAGTTCACTTGCCCCACCAAACAAATTCCCGCTCCACGGTCCCTGCAGTTGTGCCTATTACAAACTAAAAACTAGAATCTTAGATTTACTGTATAGAAAAAAGGGGTGAAGCTATAAAGTGACTATAATATTTCCAATAAATTTACACTTTGTCAAATCAAATAAGTTAAAAGATTTGAGTTCTTTCATTTCTTTTTCTTCTTTCTCTTGTCATTTGATGCTCTTCCTTCACTTTTCCTCTTTTCTACCTTTGGTTTTTCTATAATCAAAGACAAAATTCAGCGCATTTCTACTTTGGATCATTAGATCACATTCAATGTGTGGARGACCTTGATTTATTAGCAAATATTCCACTCAATCAATATTGATCCCCACAACGATAGTTTTGTTGCTTTTTACCTTCTGTTGTCACATTTGTTTCTTGTGTCTTGTCTTTGCATTCTTTTTTATCTTCTATTGTTAATACAAACCAATATTAATAAATTTGTTAAATAGATAATTATGTTTCTCCAACCTTTTTGGTTGCTTAAATGTGTCCAAAAGATTTCTGCATATGGCAATGTCTGCCTTCATCAGTTAACAAAGATGCAAGCCTTTGGTTAAAATGAAGAATTCAAACAAACCTGAGTTTGGTTGCCACAAAGCACTTTTCACAAATCTTTTAGCAGCTCCTTGGTCGATTCTCATTGATGCTACAAAAAAGAGTGAATACGACAAAGTAGATTTATTGATTTTCAACTGTAAGTTTATGCACAGAGTGATATCACCATACCTTGTTTCTTTTCCTTTGCATCCTTTACTTTTCCCATGTATTTCTTTATTCTATCCTGAAGATCAAATCATGATGCAAGTAATTTTATTAAGTACATTTATGATAAGTAAGCCATTACAGCTGGCTGGCTATTAGCCTGAGTCTCTTTTCTTTTTTTGCTCCACCCCAAACCCCTTCGAGAGAGCCTGATACTCAGGCTAGCTGGCTACAGTCCTGCACTCTTATGAAGAAGTGTGAAGAATGACATCATATGTTAGCTGTCAGTCACATCAAATAAGACACCCAATCAGTGATCACTGAATACAATCACTCTGACGTGTTGTGAGTTTTTAAGTCAAAAGTTCAGAATTGATTACCAGTTCTTGACGGACAGGATGGTTCTTTGGGTCGATACCTTGAGTTATAAGAAACACTGAAATAAGAAAAAAATCTCATGAATGATAAAGTTGATCAGTCTTGTTGGTTGAATAACTAGTTTATTATTGTTATTTGTGTTCATCTTTGTGTTTGGCATGGACAGTTGTTGATTGCCTGGTTAGTTGTCTATCTGCTTGCTTCGTTGTATTGATGTCGTCTTTTTCTTATTAGCTTTATAAGCTTATATGTTTATAAGTTGTGAACTTTCTTTCCTGCATACTAATATGGGCTTCTTGTGAATCAAAATATACTTACTCCAGAACATAGAATTAATAGCATATGCCACTACTAGATCCAGTTTAGCACATTCTATAGGATCAAGCTGAAAAGCAAGTTATTTATAAAGTTATGAAGATGTATCACGCTTTCAAAGACCATCACAACACGTGGAGAGTGACCATACGAACAACGTTTCTTTACACTATCCTTCTAGCCTACCTGGTCCTTTATATCTTCCACTGATGTCTCTAATAAAGGTTTAAATGCGTCATCCACCTTCCCTAATGCTTCATGGAAAGATTCAAGAGATTGTAAGACTTCTTTTGGTAGATCTGGATCTGCTTCKACGGACGCCATCTTGGAAATAAACRACACAGGGAGCCCACAAAAAGATTAGCTATTCATTTGTAGTGTTCGAAGACAAGAGTTTTGTTGCATTTTCCAGGTTTAACAATACTTATAATTGTCTCCATTTTTGACAGATATAAGCATTCATTTCACTTTCTTTGACTATCATCAATGATCTTCTTCTTTCTTCCTTTTTTTTTCTTTCAGTTTCGTTTTTCAAGTAGCATGAATAATCTCATTCTGTATATAAAACTATTTCACGCCAGATTTTTATAATCATTATGATTCCATAGGATACAGATGTTGAATCGGATTGGTTTACAGTCATTAGTCAGTCTGACCTATTGAGTAATTCATGCATAGCTGATCCAATTACAACAGCGATGTGAAATACTTTCTTAATATACGCCCAAGACTTTTTTCACAGTATTCAATTAAGTTTCCATAAATTTTATCTGTGCAATAAAACGTTCTCAGTCTGTAATATAACACTGTTTCAGCAAAATCACTATAAAAAGTGATTTTATGGACAAAACGGGCAGTTACGTCATTCAATGGGATGATCAATCATACTCGTGACGTCATAGGCGTGTTGATATATACGCAGGAATTTGATCCGTTTTGTAATACCGGTAATTTCACCGTCGCGAAGGTATAAATCTGTCGTCCTCTTGTGTGCTTGTTTGCGATATAATCTCCAAAAGAGCAAGAACWTTAGTTCTTTTAAAAGACAGAAGTCCAAATGGGTTTATTTTGGTCACGTTTGCTTTCGTTGATGTCAGGAAGTCAGCATGTTCGTATATTGATGCTTGGTTTAGACTCAGCTGGAAAAACAACCATTTTGTACAAGTTAAAACTCAAGGAAACTGTCCATACAGTGCCCACTGTTGCCTTTAATGTTGAGACAATTTCATTCGGAAAAAACTTGACTCTAAACGTCTGGGATATTGGAGGACAAGACAAAATTCGACGTCTATGGAGACACTACTTTCAAGGTGCCGAGGGGTTAGTATTTGTTGTCGATAGCTCGGATGTTGAACGCGTTTACGAATCGCGGGAAGAACTAGATCGCGTGTTGCAACATTCTGAACTGAGTGGGGTTCCTGTTGTCGTTCTGGCAAACAAACAGGATWTATCAAACGCTATCAGACCTGAAAAAATGGTAGACCAACTGAATCTTAACAAATTCACAACCAGAAATCCTTGGCAGATTCATGGAACTTGTGCTACGGCTGGCGATGGCCTSTACGAGGCTATGGGAACACTGACAAAGATGGTTAAAGAATACCAGCGAAAGTCAAAATCTAAGTAGGATAAGATGTTATGGAAGCCATGAAAGTGCTAAAAGAGAGAATGTTTAATTACAGCCCCTTCCGTGTGGTTGAATACAAAGTTGCGGGCAAGAAAAATGGCGCCACAAACAAATTTGAAGATATAAACAAGCTGTAAATATGTACAAGTCTAATTGAAAGTGAATAGTTTCATACATAACTATAAACCACCAGATTATTGAMTGAATTTTATTCAGTGACGGTGTAAAATGAAATTTATTTATAGACAAAAGATTCATGCCTCTTAATCTCTGTGTCCATTCAKGTGTGATTAATAGACAAGCAACTAATAAATGTGCCGGCTGGTTTCTTGGTTTGAAAGCATAGTTTTAAATATAGATCTAAGGATATGCTTCGCTTTCGAAAGTAGCAAACTGCGAAGTTGAAATGAACTTTTTATATTTTTACTTTTAAAATTATTTCCTTCCGGATTGCGACACAGTCCGTCTTCCGAAGTGGAATGTAAACATCTCCCAATTTTTAAAATCTTCTCTGGACTTCCGAATTGCTCATTTTAATTTGTTTAGTTTTTTTATTTATTATAATAAAAGTAATTCCTGCTGTATTCTTTCTCAAGTATGTCAATGCACAATGTAAAGATAGTATGTTACGATAGTTATCAAAAAAAAAAATGAAGAAACGTGATTGGTAAAGCTGTGACCTTCGTTTCCTGCCATGCTTTTGATAAGCAGGCAGCATACTCAAAACACGAGGGTATATGGTGTTCCAAACTTAAACTTTGCTTCGCGTAATTAAATAGAAGCACGCGCGGTCTGTTACGTAATGAGACCAGTGACGTAACAATCAAGATTGAAACACGAAAGCCGAACGGAAGTAAAAATGGTCACACAACCGAGCTCTGTGTACAAGAGCTCTTTTGCTAATGCTTTGAACACTGCCGACTTGGCACAAATGTGTGTCGAGAAAAAGAAATATAGAAAAGGTAGACGTAAGATGGAGCAGGAAGGGAATGCAATCGTTGTTTTGGTCAATGGAAATAAGTAAGTTCTAAAGTTTCACTAAATACTTTCAAATCCGGAATAACAATTTTCGCATTCTCATTCTAAATATCATTTATATATTTTTTTAAAAAATGATAGGATCACTTTCGAGCTTTAGCAGTTTTAGCTGTACAGCACTCTCAGTAAAATTTTAGAAAGCGCGGGAAAAAATAAATARCTACGCGCGTCCTTGACAATATTAACCAATCGAAATATTTRCTTTCGTCACGTGGTACAACACTCAGCTGGCTTCCATGTTGATTACTTTAGAATCAAAATGGTTTTCAAGTCTGCGTATCAGCGTTCTTATACAGGACCAAAATGGGACAATTTTACTGTAGAAGAGTTTCAAAAGAAACTGCAATATCGTGCAGATAGGAGAAGCGTTGAACAHCAACATCAAGCGTGGCTCTGGGACAGCGACAGCGAAGAGGATGTGGAAGAAATTCCTATGCCCGAAGACAAGCAAGATGACAAACAAGTTGCAAACTTACCAAGTCAGCCTAACGACAACGAAAGGAAAAGATCTGTAAAAGCATGGGTAGAAGAGCAAAGAGACATTACAGGAGAAGAAAAGGAAAAAGTTCCTAACGAGGAGAAAGAAACGCGTAAAACGGATCAAAAAGTCGAACATCGAAAGCGAAACGATATCGGTGAAGCGAAACATCGTCGAAACCATCGCTATCACAAACATCGGTCTCCTCATAGAAAACCGCATATAAGCGAAAGGGATAGAGAGCATGAATCACCAATATTTCATGACTTGGAAGAAAAGAAAAAGCATCCGCCATTCTTGCCTTATGGATGGGCGAATGACGCTCCTACAGAACTAAGAAARACCCATAATGTTTTAGCGTCTGATCGCGAGGTTTGTTTACATTCAATTGTTTGTGACTGTTGTTGTTATTCTTAGAGCTCTAATTATATCAATATATATAGTACATTGTAAACCAGCTTTTTTTGTTGTAATCTGTTTTTACGTAAAAATGGAAGGTTTTTTGATCCGCGTGTAAATGACATTATTAAATTGCAACATCTTATTAATGTAGCTAATTAAATTGTGCAGCAACAACTTGCTGTTTTCTTAATATATAAAAATATTTCAAAATATTTAAACACTCTCGCATCATTTTTCGTAGGTTTACCCAGCTGCCCTAAGAGCTGCAAAGAGAAGACAAAATATTATCAAACAAAAAGTCAAATTACACGAAGAAGCTATCAAGAAAAAAGAACTTACTCCTCCGGTAGAGAAAGATTCAAATCCCATGTTTCCTAAAGAAATGTGGTTGACAGAATATCAGCGAAACTTTTGTAAAGTCGATGATTTGAAACGTCACTATGGCAGATAGTAGTAACTGTACTTGAAATAATCAAATCAGATTTTGTTGGTAATAAAAAAATTAATATTTGAATTTTTTGTGTGCAAGGTTGTCTTCATATATGATCTTAGAACCCACAATTGCCTGTCACCTGTGAACATCTCACAGACCCCTGCAAACTTGGATGACAACCTTTGATGGCATTTGGCTCAGCCTTCTTATTGGCCATGAAGTAGGGAGTTTCGACAGATTTGAGCTTTGGGCAATAAACACTGATAATATCAAAATAATTGAAATCATCACAACAATAAATCTACAGAAATTCATTGATTTGAMTTATAGACTGTTACTAGTACATTGTACAACAAACATTTAACAAATAACACTATGGTAGAGTGAAAGATTTACAAGCAATCTTGTAATATCCTATGCAATTTAGAAATATTGTTCATAGAGGACAATGGATCAAGAATGTTCCATTTTAAATGCAGATTTAATGAAATTGTTTTCTGTTTTGATTTGGAAAAAATATCTGATTCATTCACTCTACATTGAATTAACAATTACAAACTTACAAGTTACAATATTATGGTATGTTAATCTTATTGGCAATATCATTCGTAATAAAATAAAATTAGCTTTACAATAAATCAGCATATGTATAAAGTGAAACTAAACCTACATTAACAGCACATGGTATGGTAAGCCACAAAACCATGGATAATATACTAATACACCTTTGTAGTCTCTTATTCTGTTGTTTACATTTGCGACTCTGCACCTTKACAAACAGATTTATAGTTTCATAGGTTTAGAGTTRTTTTCAAGGACTGCAAAAAGAAAAAAAATTGACACTGTTCAAAAKGTACTAATAGTTTACATTGAAGCTTTCAAAAAATCCCTTGTTCTCAGTATTACATGATGTTTGTGTTGATATTAAAACTTTGTAAGAATCAACCATGTTTCTTGGCTATAATAATCTCCAAACTGGCTTGATGTTGCTATTCATTGGTGACAGAATATCTACACAAGTCAATATTATTACAGCACAGCTCTTTTCAACAGTCTTGTGAAAATCACTCTAACATCTTCATGAGGCAACATTATCGTCACTTTATAGGTGTGGAATGAGCAATTTAATTGCTTATATTTGAAATAATTATAATAACAAGTATTACAATAATCATCTTACATTACAATATTACAGTTTTCTTTCACAATTTTCCATATTCACAAAAAAGTATAATGTATACACCCTTTTAATAAGTCCCGCGGTATTGTTTTCTCCGCACTTGACGTCAAATTTATTCTTTTGAAATTTTTGCAATACAAAAGGAATTCAAAAGAATAAATTTGACGTCAAGTGCGGAGAACGTAATACCTCGGGACTTATTAAAAGGGTGTATAGACTGATGTATTCCGTGAACACTAACCATTTCTATMAGTAACACTATCATCAACAAAATATATCTTTAACTAACAAATACATGTACTATACATGCGTGAAACAATTTAGTTTGAGGTAAATAATTATTAGTCTTTATAACAAAACTCAAAGCTCAAATCCCAGCAGCATATTTAAGCAATGTTATGTCCAATGCTTTTTTTAAACATTTGATCAAGCATTAACATTAATATAAATTCTTGAACAACCTGCCCTAGAAGATAACAGTTCTCATTGTCTGTAAACAGACTCCCTTCCACTGTTTACAGGTTAAAGGCCCACATACATCCAAGAACTTCTACGATCATTTCTTTTGTTTTAGAAATGATCTTTTTATTGAATGAAACTTTCTGATTGGTCCAAAGTGTGAAAGATGGTGAATTTTCATATGYGGAAAAATCCCACAAAGGTTCTTGGATGCACATGGGCCTTCAAGTGCTCTGTGAGTTCGTTATTCCATTATAATGCTTATAATGATTATTCTTATTAATGGGTTCACTGTGGATACTATGATAATACTGGCTGATAAAGAGTGCACTTACAAAACAAACAAAAAATTATGGGTACATTACTCCATTACTCCTGAACAAGGAACTTCAACATTATAATTTGATTATGGACATAAACCTTGGGATTCAAGATTATGTACATTTTTATCCTATAATTCATGTGATAATCAGGTTTGACTTGACACAATGAGATCAAACAAAAGTTGCAAACTGTACAWTTTGCACAAAGATACAATACAATGTACTAACAAATCTTAATGCATTAACATTTCAGTGAGATAAAGTTTGGCACACATTAGGTTGTACATTTGATGTGAATATGTCCAAAGGAATAATTTGGATACAAGGTCTACATGAAAAATGTGGTTTCTGTATACCAAGGAAAACAATTCAACCTCAACAATGTGCTTTGAACCTAATGTGAACAGGAATTTAATAGCCCATGAGATACTTTCACAGAGGCTGATCCAGGGGGGGGAAGGTCTGGGACACCTCAAATGACCTTTCATCCAGATTTCATGCATCTCATTCATGTGAATTTCTGTGTCCACTCCCTCCTTCCTAACTTAATTACAATGGAAGCCTGTCTCATGGCCACACACTCAATACAGCCACTCCTTTCGAATGGCCAGATTTTTATATCCCAATGAATTAAACCCTCATACTTTTCTGCCCAGTTAGAGCAGACACTCTGTCAATACAGACAAGTTTATATGTCCATTCGTTGGAAGGATTTCCACTGTAAACATGCAGGACAATCCTGAATCTGTGAAGTCTCTAAGTCTCTTGACTAGTATTAACAGAGGTAAAGACTAGAATGATTTCCCATCAAATGAATGAGATATACAGTTTAAACAACAGCAACAAAACAATGATTGTATTCATTCAATGAATGATTGTATTCATTCAATGATGGAAAACCACTCCATGATTCATGCACATTTTGCATTATTCAATGCAAATCGACTACTACTAATTTTTAAATACTAAAAAATTCTATGAGTGCAGACTGTTTATATTATTTAATGTTTCACTACTTGCTACAGTTAGCTGGGCACTTGCTCCTTGATTCTCCTCTTCCTCTTCCAGGTCGTAAGGTTCGTCGTAATGATGGGTCACCATATTGAATACCTGAACCCATTCTGTCTGGGTCAAGTTCACCTGGAATAAAAATGATTATTATTCTATCATGATGCMGATAACAATAATTTATTGTCATGCATATCAAGAATGTTTAAATCATTTATACATGCTTGAAGTACAGAACTTGCAAAGTATAAAATATTTGTACAATACAACTGTTAACATGCTAAACAAAAAGATAACAATGACAAAATCATTATTGATCGTTTTCTACAAATTCACATGAGATTCAACAGATAAAAGACTAAAATAACTAATAACTAATAACTAATATATAGATAAAAGACTGTCGGCCATATTGGAGGAATGAACAATAGATGTTAATGAAAATCCTTTGTTTAAGCTCTTACATAATAGCCGCTGTAACGTAACTTGAAAACAAAGAATAGAAAGAAAAACTTTATTYAATAACACAAGTGCCTGTACCTGATTCAATTTTGTTTAGAATTGTTCTTGAGCATTTTAAAAAACCTTCCTCCACATTTTCTCCAGATAATGCACTTGTCTCCAAGAAAATCAAGTCTGAAAAGATTTGAAAAAAGATAATCAGTGTGTCCTATAAAAATAAATGTGAATTTGCGTCACTTCATCATTTCATTAAAAAGCTTGCGATGTTTTCTACAGGGGGAGTGTTACTGACAGGTGAGTGCTTTGAACCAAAACATTCCTGCATCAGTTAGGACTCGGGTGAGTTCCATGAGCCAAGTCCAACCAAGGCAAGGATTTTTTTATGATCTAAAATCCTACTAATACACAAGTAGAATGCATTTCCATTGTAAGYCATATAATGCAGAGAAGTAAATAACTCAATTTTACTTTATTACCATTTTCCTGTGCAAATCTGCTGGCTTCTAAGAAGGTAACTTCTCTGTCGGCATCAAGATCTTTTTTATTACCAACAAGAATTATTACAATGTTGGGACTTGCTAGAGTTCTTGCATCTGTCAACCAGTTTGTCAAGGAATTGAAGGTTTCACGACTGGAAGAAAGAAATTGTAAAACATTTCCCTAAGTGAGTTGTGAGTCTATGTTTTGGTGACCATGGTGAAGTTGATGTCTGACCTTCCTTTATAGGCTTCATTGCAAACTCRGACTAATTTCACAGGATTGTGACCATCAAAACAATTATTCATAACATGAGGAATTGTTTTTTTGGTAATGAATCCTTTAAAGAACAGTTTCATTATATCTTATGTTATTCTCAGTTGTAATATTTGAAAATAATACCTATTGTGTGAGACAGCAAGTTGAGAAAAAATGGTACTGCACACACTGACTTTCATATTATTGTAAGTTTTAAATCATTTATCATGCCAATGTACCTGGATATGTCATAAACAAGTAGAGCTCCAGCTGCTCCTCTGTAGTAACTCCTGGTTACTGACCTATTAGAATAAAATTAAACTATATGTGCTTGCAGTATACATGTAGGCTCTGTTTCAAGCTGTTCACAGCCTCCACAAAGTTGTCACAAWGAATACAYGTATTGAACATTGACAAACAATCAATGTTCGCTTGTCTTCAACAAAGCACAAGTGAACTATCATTGAATATCTGGATTTCTTAGTGCATTAACTGATTTTGATGTAAAAAACCATGTTACTGTTTTATAATCAATACCATATTTCAGTTATATGAATTCTGTTATGCATTCTGCAAATTCAAACTTATTATTGTAAAAAAAAAAACAGGTCTAAAACATTTTCTATGACATGATCAGAAGATACATGTACTTGTCTAATTTCTTTTGTAATATTATTTAAATTGAAAATATTTTTTTTCTTTTATCTCTAGAAAACCTAAATGAATGAATAACAGTTTTAAAATTTGACATTTTGTTTTTACAAACTTGTCACCTATTCAGCATTAAAACTTAACACAATGTAATGGTTTTGCATTCACTTTCACTATATGATGGAAAATGTACCTGAAACGTTCTTGGCCAGCAGTGTCCCATATCTGCAACTTCACAGATTTGCCTCCAACATTAATAATTTTGGAACCAAATTCAACACCAATTGTATGACTGGAATCTTGTTTAACTATTACAAATATCAGTAATTTATTACATTTATCAATATTGATATCAATTATTTATGACATTTTATAAGTAACAATTAAAATTATATTAATTATACAAGAATAAATAATTCTTTTGTACACAAGATGTAATTAAAGTCATTTCATTTAACCTGTGGAATAGTTAATAGACTATTGGAAGTAGGCCTTGTTTGTTTTCCTTTGTTTCAACAGGGTTACTACTCACTAACAATTATTTAGTGTTACCCAGGTTAAATGTAATGGCCCTACCACATCTAGGAATTAAATATTTGTGGAAAAGTGTGCAAAGACCACATTAACAATTCTGTATTTTTTGGCAAAAACAAAGKGTGACAACTGGAAGAGAATACAAGAACATCATCGCAAAAATATATCTACTGAAATGGGCAGTATATTTAAAGATCTCTTTCATAGTAATAGTCCGTTTTTGCCATTTAAAACTTAAGGATTGATATGACTACACTTCAGAACGTTTTTTTATTTTTTTAATATCACATTGTGGAATTGAAAAGTCACACAATGCATGCACTTAAAAGGTTATAAAAGACGCAACTTCATAAAGTAAGAACGTAAACGAATAGTTAAAATACATTTTGTTCCCAAAATATACATTCGTCTCATCGTGACAAAGCTCCTGGCAAAGCGATTGACCTTGTCGAAAGTGTAGATGAGAGCATACTAGTAAATCCAAAATGCATCAGATTACATTGTATCAATATCCTTTACTTCATACTTACATTTTCCTTCAATAAACTGATGSAGGATGCATGATTTTCCCGTGCCAGCACTTCCAATCACGAGAAACTTGAAGAGGAAGTCTGCAAAGAAGCAACGAAAAGATGACATTTGGAAGAAGATGGCGCCGCGAAGGACGGCTAAAGCCGCTACAAAAAGCTGTTTATTCTACGAAAACTGTGCTAAAAAAAGATCGTGATTATCTATACATACCGTAAGACTCTGACATGACAAATGCTTGTGTTTTCAAGCCTTTAGATCGACTTAATTTCAATCCAAAGTTTTAACACTTTACAAAATAAACCTTCACGTCTGATGTTTACCCACAATTCTCTGCAACATACGTAATTTCAATATTTCTTCTAGGGAGGAGACAGTAATATTTTCCTTCGGCAAGTCAACCTTCACCCCTCCCTCGTAAAACAGCAAATATTTCCCAGGGTTCATTGTATCGGAAGTGGCTGCGCGGCCATTTTAGAAAATTTACGTATTTCATTCGGTTTGWAAGAATTTAAATCAGAAATGGAAGTCCGTAACCGAAAATCAGGCAGTGCAGGTAATTAATTGGCCCACTATCCTTCAAAACTGAGTCATTACTAACTAAAATGTATTATATGATGTAGAAAATGTGGATAATGATGGCGATTTGAATGAAAAATTGCTCGGCAATCGGCCGATTCCGATTGTTGTTGCAACGGAAGAGCACTCTTTTGAACTGGACGAAGAAGCTTTGGCTAAAGTGTTGCTAGACGACAGCATCAAAGACAAGAAAGTTGCCGTGATTTCTGTAGCTGGTGCTTTTAGAAAAGGAAAATCTTTYCTGTTGGATTTTTTTCTTCGTTATTTGGATCGCAAGGTAGGGCGGTGGACTGGATTTGCTCAGCTTTGCGCGCGTACGAAGCTTAACAGACATGAAATTTTTGCCAAATCGTTAATCCGACAAAAAGCATCAGAACATTATTTAATCCTTGAGTACATTTGTTATTGATTTTTTGCTCGTCCTAAGAAATCCSGTGTAAATCAGATGTACAAATAGTGGCAAGSAATATTTTCTTGTACATGCAAATCATAGAAAGTGCAGGCCACTTTCTTAGCGTTCCTGAATAATTTACGTTAAATTTTATACAATAATAATTTGTTTCTATCTGAATAAATTCTCAGTGGGCCTCTGAGGTGTATTCTTAATCTGCTTGCGGTAAGAGATATCCTTGTCTGGCTTCCTTTGTCCATATACCTGCAAAGTCTTGTTAATGAAAATGGTATAAAAACTTCTAGCTTGTCACTGAAGACGTTTGATTAATCAACATTAGACATCATTTCTTTGTAAAAAAAATATTTGTTTTGACATTGTGATGAACACGTGTTTGATATCAGTTTAATCTATTGATTGACTTATTAAAGCAAGAAATATTCTTGATTGAAGTTTGCTTATCAATATTTTTTTATCTTGGCAATAAATTGGCAGGTTGTGTTTGTCAATATTATTTTGTTGTAACTTAAGTTATATTTGTTTAGTTGCACTTGAGTTGTACAATTGCCCTTTAGACTTTGGAATCTGTATGAATTTGTTTATTTGCATCATTGAGAAATGTTGCATTTAAGAATATGTCAACTTAACTTAAATTGCCTTCCTATAACAAAGCATAAATGATAGATTTGTTCATAGTTATCATGAAATATATGTAGCTAGCTGATTGGGCTGTCTCATCTAAAACACAAAATGAATAGAAATGATTTTTTTTTTATTATTGTTTCAAGATCTGATTTCAATCCCTTCATCAGTGTTTGTTACCAAGGGAACATCAATACCATGTATCAGATTAAATAAGATTATCTGTGCATTCACTAGAGTACAAACACTAAAACTGTGCAACATAAATTTCTATTGTTTAATTAACACTATTTTGTAGTAAATAGTGGAAAGTGTTGTACACATTTAATGTTTGTACTCTATTTTAGAGTGAGGTGACTATTAATGAATAACAACCATGATTATATTGATAATCAATACTAATTATTGTTTTATTGTTGATTGTAGAGTATAAACACTAAAAGCGTGCAACACTTTGCACTATTTCTACAAAAAAATGCTAATTAAACAATAGAATTAGCATAATTTAGCAGTATTTAGTGGTATTTATGTTGCAAAGTTTTTGTACTCTAGTTTAATATTATTAGTTTATGTCTATCAGTATTTATATGTATGATATGTTTCTCCACAGGATACCCATGATGACTGGCTTGGTTCTCCTAATGAAGCCTTAGAGGGTTTTTCATGGAGAGGAGGATCTGAGAGAGATACAACTGGTATCTTATTATGGAGTAAGCCATACTTGTGTAAAAGACCTAATGGAGATGAGGTAAACCACATTTTTAACCATAGAAACTCAACTACTAGTCTCCTTCAAACTTCCCTGTGCCATCTTGAAAGGTAACAATACCTTCGCTTTGGACCAAGATGACCAGTTGTTGCACAATGATAGAAGGGTTTTTTTCATTTCATGTAAAGACAATTATTATTCACAGATATCTATCATTGCACACTCACCTGTTGTTTTTCATCCCAAAACACAAATGTCTTTTAAAATGGTATTGGATGCTGTTAAGAATGCTATTCTTATTCTGTGAAGAAGGCTATTCTTATTTTTATGAGAGAATCAATAAAAAAGGACCATTCATTGTAGTGGGAAAGGGTTTAGCACCATATAAAAGAAATTCTATTAAAAATATTTTGCCAGGCTGGAAGTAAACTCTTCTTTTTTTGGTAAATTTGTGAATGATTTAGTGAGTGAAAATGCTGTTATTCTAGGTTGTAGTACTATTAATGGACACCCAAGGTGCCTTTGACAGTACATCYACTGTTAAAGACTGCGCTACCATCTTTGCCCTTAGTACCATGACTTGTTCCACACAGGTAAGGACAAACTAATTCTCAAGTATTTCAGCTCAGAAAAAAATGTATTGTATTACTAGGCTTAYAGAGCTCTGAGCTGTCAATAGAATATATTGATAGTCAACCATATTGTGTGTTTGAGTGTGAGTTCAACAACCTTTTCTATGATTGACAGCTCAAAAAACCTTCAAAACCCAAATCTGAACTGATGGTTGAGACACTTAGATTCATACAACGAATAATTACATTTGTATATGGTCTGCTGAATTCCAGATAGCGTTGTGTCCTTGTAATGGTCATATACCTTCCATTATTTTGACCACCTTGTAAAATAATTCTATGTTTTGCTGTCAGTTAATATTTTAATAATCTTTATAGGTATATAATCTTTCACAAAACATYCAAGAAGATGATCTTCAACATTTACAGGTATAAAAATGATTACTACCATTCTTTCCAAATATCATATTTWATAAAAACAAAACATTTTCCTCTTCTGTAGTTGTTTACTGAATATGGGAAGCTGGCCATGGAGAACAATGACGTAAAGCCATTCCAGGTAGACCCAATATTRTATAACAATATTGATAGTTTATTACAAACTCCTACATTAAAGATGCTCTTCTATCTGAAATATTCTACTCACACACACAACTTCTACATATCTACATTGTTTTACATGTATTTGAAAACAAAATCATACAGCTTTCTTTGCACTGCTCTCAGTGAGACACCAAGACCTGTTTTATGCGAAGTTTCAATCTCAAACTGTGCATGTATGTACATGTATGTAGACAATATTCTTGACTGCCTAATAATTCTTCTTGTATGGTATGAGCTTAAAACTTCATATACACTTCTGAATAAAGATGGATAAGTATTTCAAAGGTTACAATATTAATGTCTGTATTTCTCTTGGGATTATTTCAGCGACTGATGTTTTTAGTAAGAGATTGGAGTTTCCCCTATGAGGCAGAATATGGCAGTGATGGTGGCRAGCAGATCCTGGAAAGAAGACTAAAGATATCAGAGAAGCAGCAYCCTGAACTACAGCAAGTCAGGAGGCATGTGAAGGAATGTTTTGACAGGATTGGCTGTTACCTGATGCCACATCCTGGACTTAAGGTGGCAACAAATCCTTCATTTCAAGGGCATTTAGTAGGTTAGTAAAAAAATGACAGCATTTCTTCAGTTTTCATTGAGGGTCCGTGAAAGCATCTCTATGGGTTTGTATGACCTGAGCATAGCACAAAAAYAGTCTTCTTCTTCACAACTCCTGCACAATCTTAAATGGTAGCTGTGCCTTTGAATCAAAGCAGGTTRACTGTTGAGCATGCAATGATTGATACCTGTCTGTATGATTGTGAAAGGTGTGAARGTTTCTATCATTGATCTCTCCACCATTGTCTCACTTAATTGATGCCTTTCAAATGGAGCAGGAAAGCGTGAAGAAGGCTTTTAGAACAGCATAACACATTACATACATATACCATACAGTACAACAAGGTATAAGATGATGAACAAGAGCGTAATTCGAGTTAGCCTGATTTTCAGACGGGGCCTGGGAGGCCCCGTCTGAAAATCAGGCTAAATTCGAGTTCGCTTATTTTTTGATTGCAGACATTGATTCTGAATTCAAAGAACAACTAAAGGAACTGATACCACGTCTATTGGCACCAGAGAATCTTGTGATAAAGGGAATCAATGGAGAAGAAGTAACATGTAGAGGATTGATGGAATACTTCAAGGTATGCAGTAATGTTACTGCACATAATACTTTGATTCTCTTCTTGGGTTTCCTGTGCACAAGATTTGGAGAATGGGACGAGGAGAGAGCACAGGAAGACCAAGGAGAGAAATTAGAAGGTATCTTAGCAGTGCTATCAATATTTTTGTTCTGATTGACAGGCGTATATGAAAATATTCCAAGGGGATGAATTACCACAACCCAAGTCTATGTTACTGGTGAGTTATCAATGATTTGTGTACAACAATGCGCTACGCAGGATAACTGACAGCATTCTGTGGAACCCATTCTATGATGGTCAAGTAATTCACACTTATCCATCCGTTTAGTGAGGCTTTGAGAACAACCTATTTCAWTGCATGTTATCTTACTGGTTTTCAGGCTACAGCAGAAGCTAATAACCTGGCTGCCTTGGCCACGTCCAAAGACTTATACATTAAAGAGATGGATAACGTGAGTAGTGTTTTAGAGACGTTGCSTTTACGTAACGCACTTCATARCTCTGTCATGACGTAACGGTGAGGCGTGATTTACAGAAACATAGCTATTGTACCAGTGTGTATTTCTGTACAACTTAATGATACGTAACGCAATGTAATAATTTAATAACGTAACGCTGCATAACGAAACGTTTAAGCACGTAACTTTGGACTTGCAATTTTACGGATACGTAACACGACCTACTGTCGTGATTTGTTGAACATAGATAACATAGATAATACGTACGGATAATTTACGTATCCTTTACGTTRCGCTAGAAAACGGAGCATACGTACGTAACACAGGAATTCTGAAACTCATTGCAAATAGGTAMAACAACCTGTGAATAGCATACTGAAGTTAAAAATGCACAAAGCAATGATTTAGAAAGGAACGTAAACGTTTTTGTCTATTATCTCGGTAGATTTGCGGCGGAGACACGCCTTATCTCGCACCTAAMGAACTGGAACGCAGGCACAACAGTACGCGGGAAAGCGTCCTTGAGCTTTTTCACAAAACACGCAAAATGGGCGGCGAGTTTTTCAGCGAGGAATACGCYACAAAACTTCTCCATGAGATCGACGGAGCATTTGAGAACTATGTCAAACTGAATGACAGTAAAAACATTTTCAACGCCGGTAGAACACCGRCTGTGCTWCTCTCGGTGATCATTATCTCGTACGTGTTCTCAAGTCTGTTTAATTCTGTTGGTTTGATGTCGTTTGTACGGATGTGCAATCTCACGCTTTGGGTGGCTGTTATTATGCTCATTGTATGGTTTTATATACGATTTACTGGCGAGTTTAGAGAGTTTGGTGCCAAGATTGATCATTTAGGTGAAGTGGTCTGGGACGAGGTAAGCTCATTTTCCTGTGATTTTTATTATTTGGAGATTATGATGATAAGTGATAGTGACGATGATGATGATTGGTGATGATGATATAGTAATCTGTGGGACGTATGATTGTGTAAAAGTCACTGAGAGAATTTTGTGTTTTCTCAAACAGATTGTCAATTCTATTAGTCGATAGGCAATGGGCAACACAGATGATGTAAACTTTTTATAGAATTATTTTAGATTCATATAGAATTTGACTTCTGCTGAGTGGGAACATTGTAAACCATGCAAATTTTATAATTTTCTTTTGCAGTCGTTGTAATTATTGCGCTGTTAATGCAGTACTCTATGATCAAGACATTGATGTCGATATTGCTTTGACGATAATCCATGACTAATGATGRACTAGTTTGATCAGCCATTGAAAACAACATTTTAWTAWYRMCRYYRTTKWTTATTGTCTACTAGGTGTTCATACCGCTGTACGAAGCAGTGCTGCATCGCGGCGCACAGGCAGTAGCTTCGACAACTGCAAACCAGCTCTCGTCCAAGAAGACGAAATAATTGAGTTGATTATATTCAATTCATATTCTCACTGCCTGTCTGGAACAAGCCCCGTTACTAAAAATTCATTTTGATAATAAATTTTGATTTGAAATAATATARCAATGTATCAAGGTCTTCTGTTGCTATTAAGCGTAGAGAGACCCGATATGACGTAGCTCTTGAAATTAGCCTAGCTCTCAAGCTCATCCCTGCACTACCGTGAGAATATGGATGAATTCTTCATTGATTGAATATCTGACCACTATAGTAGTTAAGAATCTACTGAGAAACACTGTTATGATAGAAAAAATATCGGCAAACCCATTCGAGTTCCAAAATTGCATTTATCGTTATAAGTAAGAGGACGGTAAAAAAAAAAAAACATTGTATGAGTTGAGAAATGGATGTCAGAAAACCATTCAAGTGCTTGGGAAACCATTTAAGTGCTTGGGAAACCATTCAAGTGCTTGGGAAACCATTTAAGTGCTTGGGAAACCATTCAAGTGCTTGGGAAACCATTTAAGTGCTTGGGAAACCATTCAAGTGCTTGGGAAACCATTTAAGTGCTTGGGAAACCATTCAAGTGCTTGGGAAACCATTTAAGTGCTTGGGAAACCATTCAAGTGCTTGGGAAACCATTTAAGTGCTTGGGAAACCATTTATGTGCTTGGTAAGCCAGGCAGATGCCAGGCAAATCCGGTTCTATTTATGCTCCGATAAGTTGCGTGATAGTTTAAGTAAGTTGTGCCAAGAACTTAGAATGCATCGCATCGAAGTATAATTTTGCTGGTTTAATATTTTGATCGCTTTGTAAATAGAGATATTACAGTGTAGATTATTTATACCACAAATTATTGACTTTACAAAATTGTTTCGAAATTCAAATGATATTTGTACTTTACTATAGATTGTAGAATATCAAAAATAAACAACATGAACAGAAATAGTTTTGATGGATTTATTCTCAACGGATCGGTATTTTCTTTAACCAATGCTGTCAGAAATATCGTTGGCGCGCGCATGAAAAGCAGGTGTTCTTGGACAGCATTTCGATGAAAATACTTTTTACATTTTCGTACACGCAACTGCGAATATTTTCAAAGCGACTTCCCATCGCTAAAATCCCAATAGGCGATTAAGAATAAGACTAAGATAACTCCGATCTTGCCTATCATTTTCATTGCTACGCGACCAATTCAGACTTAAAAACTACAATGAACAATGGCTGCTGTCAATCAACTAAAATGAATTTTGTCTCATCGCATGGCAATGCAAACGATTGCACTTTATTATAATAAATGTGTATAATTTTTGTAGCTTGAGTGTCGGAGTGTAGCCTCCTCTCGAAGGGGAATGGGGTGGAGCGAGACACTTCTTCGAGAAAGCCAGATACTCAGGCTAATTTTATATGGCTATACGACTTAAAGAACCTTCATTTTAACCCTGAAGGCATTCAGATTATACTGGTTACTCTATGTTCGTGATGTTACCGTCGTTTGCATTGCTAGGTAACTAGTCCAGACACTGCCAAGTGATATGACGCCAACGCTGATCTGTTTAACCATTTTGATTGACGGCAGTGCAAACGACGGTTAGCATAATTTCGATAACATTGAATATAAGTGTTTTTTTTTTCTTCTTTAAGCTTGTCAGTATTTAACATTAAATTCAACAGGTTTTCCTTGTTCAATCGACGTAGTGCATCAGACGTTCTTTCACAACTAAAAGATCCTTAGTGGCCGGTTTACTAAAAGATCATTTGGCCGGTTTACTAAAAGATCGTATGGCCGGTTTACAAAGGTTCAATCAATGATACCCACCGTGTAGAGTTATCCATTCCATAAATTTTGTATGCTTTTTATTCGAAAGGATTTATCCAGTGGATATCGCTATTCACCCTTTGTACAACCCGGCGACTTCAGATCCTTTCTATAGGTTTATAACG